TATTTTGAGAAGAAGGGGTGGGGTTAAGAAGCAGCTGAGGGTGAAGGGTTAGGGCTGGGTCAGGCGGGCATACCAATACGTGACAGTGGCCGCCTGCTCCTCCCGCTTATACCACATACTGGACAGCAGCACAAACGTGGGCTGGCAGGCGGCCTCGAAGATGCCCAGCAGGGTGCGCACGGCCACGAGCCCGGCGAAGTTCTTGCACGCGGCGTGCAGCGCCAGGATGGTGCCCCACAGGATGATGTTGACGCCCAGGTACTTGGCGATGCGCACGCGCTGGATGATCCAGTTGGTCGGGTACTCGACGATCAGGACGGCGATGTAGATGCAGGTCGTGAGCCAGGAGTACTGTCAGTCCCCCAAAGTCAGTCAACCAACACCACGATCATCTTGACCGGAAAAGAGCCCACCTCCTGCCCCTTCATCCCCGTGTCCGTGCGGATCCCCATGATCGACGCAAACGACATGGTCCCCTTGTCCAGCGCCTGCAGGAAGTACGTCAGGATCATGACCACCAGCACGCGCCGGTCGATCATGCGCCGCAGCCGCCGGCTGGTCGCCTCGTCGACCTCGACTGCCCCGCGCGCCGCGTACGCCGCGATCTCCTCGTCCACGCGGGCGGCGTCCACCCCCAGCCCTTTCTTGAGGGACCCGTCCGTCGGGGAGAGTACCCGCTCGACGTGGGCGGTGGCGGTGGCATGGGCAGCCTTGTCGTCCTCCTTTGGGGCGGGGTGCGACGGGGTGGTGTCGGTGATGTTCTCCGCCATGGTGTGCGGATGGGGTGGGACTCGATATGGTGGGGGGAATGAATCAAGGGGGTTAGGGGGTGCAAGGGGACGCAGGGCTTTTTATTTGATACGGGGGTAGGGCAACACCTGCAGGGCAATGTGACCGTGACCGTGACCGTGACCGTTGCCATCTCGTTTATGTTTGCTTGGCCAATCCTTCGCGGGGGGTGAATTTCACGCCAATGAGAGGGGGGTGTAAGTATGGTGGTGTGAGGCGAATAACCATGTAATTCATGGGTTGATGCATCTCGCTTAGGGTTGGTGCAGTGATTACGAAGTACTCTGGGGTCTGTCTATTTTACCCCATGGGACAACCACAATACGCGGGGGCGGGTCAAGCCGCTTCCAGTTTGCAAATTAACCGGCGGGAGGGAATTGACCCGAGAACGCGGGGGAAAAGTCTTGGAACTGGAGCTTCGCTTGGAGGGCAGCTGCAGGAGGGCGCCAATCGCTGTTTGGTGTAGAGGAGGGGTTGGACTTGGCTGGGAGCGTGTTCGGGAGTCTCTGACCCGAATATCAACATGACGAGATGGCGGGGGAAGACAATCAGGAAGAAGCTGGAGCTGGCCAGCTAGTAGCGACTTGATAGTACTTCTATCTGCTCCCAAGTGTCTTCTTCCCTTCCTCCTTGCCTTCCTCCCTCCTTTTCTCCCTCTTTTTCTCTCCTTCTACACAAGACCAACCCAACCCAACCCTAACTCACCTCCACCACCACCAAACACAACCCACCAAAATGCCCCCCCTCGCCCCCCTCGCCCCCCTCGCCCCCCCCGCAATCCGCAGCAAAATCGACCTCCTCATCACGAACCTCATCAACATCCACGACCCGACCGGCGAATTCCTCCTCCACCTCCCCGACGGGCGGATCATCGACACCAAATCCTGGCACGGGTGGGAATGGACGCACGGGGTGGGCCTCTACGGGATCTGGAAATACTACGAGCTCACCGGGTCCGCCACGCACCTGCGCATCATCCAGGACTGGTTCGCGGCGCGGTTCGCCGAGGGCGGCACGACCAAGAACATCAACACGATGGCCGTGTTCCTGTCGCTGGCGCACCTCTACGAGACCACGCGCGACGTCACCTACCTGCCCTGGCTGGACGCCTGGGCCGAGTGGGCGATGCACGAGCTGCCGCGCACGCGCCACGGCGGCCTGCAGCACATCACCTACCTGACCGAGAACCGCGGGCAGCTGTGGGACGACACGCTGATGATGACCGTCCTGCCGCTCGCCAAGATCGGGCGGCTGCTGGGCCGCCCCGCGTATGTGGCCGAGGCCAAGCGCCAGTGCTTGCTGCATGTCCAGTATCTGTTTGATGCGCGGACGGGGCTGTTTTTCCATGGGTGGCAGTTTGCCACCGCAACCGACGGAAACGACGAGAACGACGACGCACAGGTGGGGGGCCATCATTTCGCCGAGGCGCGCTGGGCGAGAGGGAATAGCTGGATTACCATGGTGATTCCCGAGATTGTCGAGTTGCTGGAGCTCGAGGAGCATGACCCGATTCGTGTGCATCTGCTGAGCGTGCTGGAGGCGCAGTGCGCGGCCCTCCGGAGGTTGCAGGAGGCGGACGGATTCTGGCATACGTTGCTGGATCATAAGGATTCCTACGTCGAGGCTTCGGCGACGGCTGGCTTCGCGTACGGGATTCTCAAGGCCGTGCGGAAGAGGTATCTCGGGCAGGAGTACCGCGAGATGGCGGAGCGCGCGATCCAGGCCGTGGTTGGGGCGGTGGATGCGCAGGGCGAGCTCCAGAATACCAGCTTTGGCACCGGGATGGGCGACAGTCTGCAGTTCTACAAGGAGATCCCCCGCACGGCGATGCCGTACGGGCAGGCGATGGCGATCATGGCGTTGGGGGAGTATCTGCGGGGGATTTCGTATTAGGGTTTTTTTTTTAGGTATAGAGGCGTGCGAGGTAGTATAGATGTATATAGATTCAACACCGGTCCTTCACGTTCGTGACCCCTGTCGTCCATGGTATTCTCCGGCCGTCAAGCTACAGCTGACTCTTCAGCCACAAGGTCTGCGAATTGCACCACCCCACCAGCCCATGCACCCCCCACTCCGTGCCCATGCCGCTGGCCTTGTGCCCGCCGAACGGCACGTGGGGCGCGACGTCGAAGTGCGAGTTCACCCACACCGAGCCGGCCTGCAGCTGGTCGACGATGCGGCGCGCGCGGCCCAGGTCGCGGCTCCAGACCGAGGCGCTCAGCGCGTAGTCGGAGGCGTTGGCGCGGGCGACCACGTCCGCCTCGTCCGACCACCGGAGCAAGGGCAGGATCGGCGCGAAGGGCTCCTCCTGCACGACGCGCGAGGTCTCGGGCGGGTTGTCCACGAGGGTCGGCGCGATGAAGAACCCCTTGTCGAGGTTGGCGGGCACCTCGCCGGCCGCCAGCGTCCGCAGGCCGGCCGCCTGCGTCGCCGCCAGCAGGTCGCTGGCCTTGTCGAACTGCATGCGGTTCTGCACGGGGCCGAAGAAGGTGGCCGGGTCGGTGCCGTCGCCGACGGGGAGGCTGCGCACGAAGGCGACCAGCTTGTCGCGGAACTCGTCGTAGATGCTCGCGTGCACGTACAGCCGCTTGATCGTCATGCAGATCTGCGAGGAGCAGAGGAAGGCGATGATGCCGATCTGGGGGGGGGGGGGGGGGGGGGGGGGGGGGGGATCGTCGCTCGTCAGCATTGCCAGTGAACCAAGATATCAGACAACCCCACTCCACCCGCGCTCCACAGCCGAGTCCACAACCACGATCCGGTGTCTGCTTTTTGAGACAGCGTCCCACAATCACCGGAACTACTCCGCACGCCGTTCACGTTTATTGTGTTTTGTGAGGGGAAAGGGCAAGGAACAGGGACCCGGAAAACACACCTTCTGCACCACCGCATCCACATCAACATCCCCACACACAATCGCGGCATCATTCCCGCCCAACTCCAACGTCACCCGCTTCAACCCCCTGGCACAGCCCTCCATCACCTTGCGGCCGGTGGCACTCGACCCGGTAAAACTGATCTTCAGAATCCCCGGATGCGCCGTCATCCAGGGCCCCAACTCCTCCCCGCCACTCAGCACCTGCACGACCCCCGGCGGGAACACCTGGGCAGCCAGCTCGCCCAGCTTCAGCGCGCAGTACGGCGTGTACGGACTGGGCTTGACAATCACCACATTCCCCGTGACCAGGGCGGGCACGATCTTGCCCACGGCCAGCAGCACGGGAAAGTTCCAGGGGACGATGGCGCCGCACACGCCGATGGGCACGTAGCGCTGGACGATCTGGCGGTCGGGCGTGTCTTCGAGGGTCGTGACCGGTAGCTCGAGGGTCGGGATGCTGCGCGTCCAGGTGATGGCCATCTCGACTTCGATCTGCGCCTGGCTGAGCGGCTTCCCCTGCTCTTGGGTGAGCAGGGCGATCAGGGACGGTTTGTGGGTTTCGAGGAGCGCGGCGTAGCGGGTGAGGAGGGCGCGGCGGGTCGCGAGCGGGGTGCGCGACCATGCTGGGAAGGCGGATTGTGCGGCGACAACGGCGGCGTCGAGGTCGCTTGGGCGGGAGATCGGGACTTCCGGGTTCGGGAGGCCGGTGGTTGGGTTGGTGCTGTGGCGCGTGGTTGGGGTGGTGGTGTGTTCGTTGTTGATGATGTTGTAGAATTTCTGGGGGGGAGGGTTAGTTAGGGTTGGGTTGGGGAGCGGGAGGGAGATTACGGTGGTGTCGAGCGCCATTGTGGTGGTTGGTACTGTAGTACTGTTCAGTCCTTGTTTCTCAAATTATGGTTGCAGGAGGACGTAAATTGCTGAAAGGTGACCGAGCAGGGAGGAATGCTCAGTCTTTATACCCTCTCTCGGTTCAGCACTGCCCACAAGCCGAGCACACTCGTATACGGGATAAGCCTGCGATGCACGACCAGCTTACCCGTGTTGGACGAAGATTTGCCTTGCGGCTTGAATAGTCGTACAGCTCGGCTGCCGCAAGCGTCCGTCATTGGACAAAATTGGTAAAATTGGGTAAAATTGGAGGCACGCCTCGCTTTGACTTTACGGATCGGCACGTGCGGGGTTACAGTGGTTTTGGTCAAGTTAAGTTATTCTGTCGAGCTTGGAGTCAATGGCTTGCTTGTCCGACTGCTTGTAGACTAGTATCTATGAGTATCATCCCAGCGTGACCGTGACCGTGACTCTCGAAAAACTACACGATCCAAAGCCACTTACTCCGCCCTTGGCTTCGTCTCCAAGGTCCATCGGCCAAGACGGCCCCAAGACGGCCAAGACAATGGCGGCAACTGAGGATGAAAACTGCTGTCGGCGGTCTGCCCTTGCTCGGTCTTCTCGTCCTCCCAAAATCTCCAAAATCTCCAGAATCTGCCCAATTGCGATAAACAGGCAAGATGAAGGACAAAGACGAGATCGTCATCCAGGCCATTCCAACAGCCTCGCTGCAGGAAGCCGAAACCTCGCAGGAGTTCCTCGCGGCGGAGCATGCGCTGACCTTCTGGCCCGCTCTGCGACAGCACTGGCCAACCGTGGCGTGGGCATTATTCATGAATCTGGTACGCTCAGCCTCGATGATTCCGGTGATATACTGACATACAATCAATAGGCGACGATCCTGAAAGGAATTGTACGTCACCCACCAACTACTTCACGACGAAGAACTAACCGACTCGACTAGGATGGCGGCGTGGTCAAAGGCCTAGTCGGACTGGACGTCTTCAAGCGGAACTACGGCTACGAGCACGAGGGCCGCTACATTCTGGCCGCGCGCTGGCTGTCGGCCTTCAACTACGCCAACCTGCTGGGGGCCATCGTGGGGGCGCTGTTCGCCGGCCTGGCCTACGACCGCTTCGGGCCGCGCCTCGTGCTCACGGGCTGCTCATGCCTGTCGATCGGCGTCATCTTCGTGCAGTTCTTCAGCCAGACGCCCGCGCAGCTGTTCGCGGGCGAGCTGGTCAACGGCTGCGTCATCGCCTTCTACCCCATCTGCGCCTCCGCGTACGTCGGCGAGGTGACCCCGCTGCCGCTGCGCGGGTTCGCCGCGACCATGACCAACCTCGCCTTCTCCATCGGCTCGCTGATCGCCTCGGGCATCCTGAAGGGGACGGCCGCCCTCGCCAGCGACTGGTCCTACCGCATCCCCATCGCCACGCAATGGGCCCTGCCGGGCATCATGCTGGCCCTGGTCCCCTTCTGCCCGGACCCCCCCTACTGGCTGTGCCGGAAGGGCCGCCCCGAGGCCGCCGCCGCGTCGCTGCGCCGCCTCACCGTGCGCGGGGGCGCCGTCGGGCCCCGCCTCGCCCACATCCAGGAGACCCTGCGCCTGGAGGCCAGCTTCCAGCCCACGACCACCCGCCGTCTGGAGTGCCTGCGCGGCGCCAACCGCCGCCGCCTCCTGATCTGCGTCATGGCCTACAGCATGCAAGCCTTCACGGGCAACGTCTTCTTCATCAACTACGCGGTGCACTTCATGGAGACCGCCGGGCTGAACGCGTCGCACGCCTTCTCGATGAACCTCGGGCTGAGCGCGCTCGGCCTGCTGGGCACGGTGCTCTCGTGGCCCCTCTTGTCCTACGTCGGCCGCCGCACGATGTATCTGACGGGCTGCTCGGCGCTGGCGCTGACGCAGCTGCTGATCGGCGTGCTGGACGTCGTCCCCCGCAGCACCGGCACGGTCTGGGCGCAGTGCGCGCTCATGCTGGCCTGCACGCTCGTGTACGACGTCAGCCTGGGCCCCTTCTGCTATGTGCTGCTGGCCGAGGTCTCGTCGATGCGGCTGCGCGGCGTCACCATCGGCCTGGCCACCGTCAGCTGCTTCGTGTGGTCGGTCGTCTTCGCCGTCGCCATCCCCTACGCCATGGACGCCGACGAGGCCGACTGGCGCGGCAAGCTGGGGTTCCTGTTCGCGGGCACCAGTCTCGTCTGCGCCGCCATGTGTTTCTGGTGGCTGCCCGAGACGCAGGGGCGCACCTTCGAGGAGCTGGACGCGATGTTTGAGCAGGGGGTGCGCAGTCGACGGTTTCGGCGGTGCGTGGTGGTCATTGGGGAGGAGGGGAGGGGAAGAGTGGTGGTGGCGATGCGGGAGGAGGGCGTGGTGGGGAGCGTCGAGGGGAGCGTCGAGGGGGGCGTCGAGGGGAGCACCGAGGCAGTAGGCGTTGGGAGATGTGTTGAGGATGGGCAGTTGCAGTGCACGGAAAAGAACAACAGAGAAGCATTCCAGGTCGGTGCAAGAGCCTAAAGAGGGAAAAGCCGAGGCAGTGCAGAAAAACAGGCGAGGCGAGGCGATTAATAATCTAGTCCCGTTTCGGGAAAGGCTGCAGAAGGCGAAAATTTGAGTGCTGACGGCTGACTCAGCCGCCCCTTGTGCAGAGATGCAGAAATGCAAAATGCAGCCTGGAGGACTGCACCGTCTCGAGTCATGAACCATCCCGGAAACTCAATATACTTTGCGTTGCCCCATTTCTGCTCTGCGTCACCCTGCTCAGTAATCATGACTTCATGGCTCGCGCCCACCGTTTCCTCTGGTGGCGGCAGAACTGCCGCATTGCCTCGACCTTTGAATCCGCGCAGCCACTGCACTGCATAACTCCCGGTCATCCACCCTTCGCGACCACCGACCTGCCCCATCCGGCCCGGTATCGACACCCTGAAGAAGCAGCTGCCCCGAATTTCCTCCGTCTGGAAACTCTGCCAGCTCCACTCGCCCGCCGTGCCGTGGTTCGCGTCTCCGCCGCCTGCGAATGGTCGTGACGAGGACGGTTGGGCAACTCCCTCCCACCCCCCGGGGCCCTCGCTGTATTTGGCAGGTACCTAGGCAAACCTTGAAGCCAGTCTCTCGAGAAGCTTCTTCGACGTCGTTGGGGGTAGCTTCGTCAGCAACTGCGCTGCTTGATAATCGACCCTGGGGGGGCGTGGCCCCACTGGGAGCAGTCGTATAAAGGTGGTTCGGCCGCTGCTGTCACCTCACTGACACAACCCCCTCCAAACCAAACACATCCACACATACACCATGTCTGAGAACAAGGCCCTCATCTTCAAGGAAGTCCCCACGGGCTATCCTGTCCCCGGACAGCACATTGGCCTGGAGCCGGTCTCCTACGACGCCAACGCCGCCGCCCCCGAGAACGGCATCTTCGTGCAGTCGCTCTACGCCAGCTTCGACCCCTACATGCGCGGCCGCATGCGCCCGGCCGAGGTCAAGTCGTACTCGCCGGCCATGGCGCTGGGCCAGCCCATCGACAGCGCGGTCATCGGCAAGGTGCTGCGCTCCAACAACCCTTCATACCAAGAGGGCGACCTGATCCAGGGCTACCTCCCGATCCAGTCGTACATCTCCGTGGGCGCGGAGCGGCTGCCGTACGTCAAGAAGCTGGAGAACCCGCTGGGCATCGAGGACATCCGGGTGTTCATCGGGGCGCTGGGCATGCCGGGCTTGACGGCGTACTCGTCGCTGTACGAGATCGGGCAGCCCAAGAAGGGGGAGACGATCTTCGTGTCGGCGGCCAGCGGCGCCGTGGGTCAGCTGGTCGGCCAGCTGGCCAAGCACGAGGGCCTGACGGTCATCGGCAGCGTGGGCTCCGACGAGAAGCTCGAGTACATCACCAAGGAGCTGGGCTTCCACGGCGGCTTCAACTACAAGAAGGAGAAGCCGGCGGACGCGCTCAAGCGCCTGGCGCCCAACGGTATCGACATCTACTACGAGAACGTCGGCGGCGAGCACCTCGAGGCCGCCCTGGAGGCGATCAACAACTTCGGCCGCGTGGTGGTGTGCGGCATGATCTCCGTGTACAACGGCACCCCCTACCCGATCAGCAACATCTCGTACGTGCTGACCAAGCGGCTGACCATGCGGGGATTCATCGTCAACGACCCCGGCATGGGCGACAAGTACACCAAGGAGCACCAGGAGAAGGTGCAGCAGTGGATCAAGGAGGGGTCGTTCAAGGCGCTGACGCACGAGACGGTGGGGATCGAGAACGCGGCCGAGGGCCTGGTGGGCATCTTTTACGGCAAGAACAAGGGCAAGGCCGTGTTGAAGTTTTAAGCCTGGCCCTGTCGATTGTATATCTTGACCTCCCTATACCATGATTGAACATAAGACCCGAATGAACTAAACATTAATATTTCACCTCTTTTTTCCATCTTTCCAAGCGCAATCAATCTCTCCCAACCCTCCAAAGACACCATCAAAGACACCCTCCCTCCCAAGCACCTAAATCTTCTCCCGATGCCCGTTCTCCCCCTCGCCCTTCATCCCCCTCTCCCCTCCCTCCCCCTTACCTTGACCCCGCCGACCAAACACCTTCGTCTTCCCCCAAACCACCCCAACCACATACCCCACAAAAACCACCCCCGCCACCACCGAATACACCACCACCGCCGCAACCGGCACATTCCTGCTCCCGACACCCCCCATGCCCCGTCCCGCCAGCCCAAACCCCAATCCCCCATTCACCATCCCCAGGATAATGGCCCCCCGCCCCACCCAGCGATGCACATACCCGAACACACTCTTTGCAGCCTCGCGCTTCCAATGCCGATGCTGGAGGTAGCCTGCCACCGGCTGGAAGAGGACCAGCACGCCGACGAGGATGAGTCCGATGACGGGGTGCGCGTGCTTGAGGGTGGAGACTGTCGTGGCTAGGTAGACCCCCGTCCCCAGGCCGGTGATAACCAGAGCGAGGGTGAAGAGTTGGAGCGGGGCGTGGCGGGTTGCGATGTTGTATTGGACGCCGAGGGGGATGGGGAGGGCGAAGAGGGGGAAGCCGAGGAGGAAGGCGGTGGCCATGAGGGTGCCGTGGACGATGAGGATGGCTCGGGTCTTTGTTTGCGGGTGGGTGTCGTTTCCTGTTTGCGGGGTGGGGGGTTGGGTCGAGGTGAGGGCGAAGGGGTTGAGGTCGGTGCTGTTGTTTTCCGCGGCCGAGAACTGGGCGTGGCTGAGGTCGAGGGTCGTGCTGCCCATGTCGCTGTGGATGGTGAGGGTCTCTTGCACGGACGAGGAGTTGAGGGCGCGGCCGGTGTGGTAGGCCCAGATAAAGGGGGCGGCCGTGGAGGCCGGGGCGTAGCTGGTGTCGGAGGGGGCGGCCCAGCTGGCCAGACAGTTCGTGCACTGGATGTTGGCTTCGATGGTGTCGTCGGTGACGCTGCTGCTGGGGAGGAGGGTGGCGTGGGCGAGATCGGTGTACTGTGGCTCGATGTGTCCGCGCCCTAACCGTGGGGACAGGGTCAGGTTCGTGCCCGAGGCGTCGGTGTAGACGACCAAGATGTTGGCCCCCGCCATGCGGCTGCCCTGGCCCAGCGCCACCCATTGCAGCGTGCGCGGCGCCCGGATCTGCAGGTAGATCGGTCCCGCGTTGTGCTGGGTGGTCGTGTCTGGGACGGTGACGCTGTAGGTCAGGTTCGGGTGGGTGGTGGAGGGGGTGAAGCTTGCGATGTTGGCCGTTGCTAGGGGGGCTGTCTCGGTACTTTGTTAGGACTGTGCGGTTGTGTGGTAGAGTATAGCAGGCTGGGGAGGGAACGCACCTAGCCCCAGAACGGTCTGGAGAAGTCGAAATGCCCGCATTGTAGACTGGCGACGGAGACGGTGACACGAGTTGGCGGGCATTCACTTACCCACGGGGGTAGGGTAGGGCAGCGCAGCGCAGGGCAGGCCAGCGTCCTTTATATCCATCCAGCGGTCAAGTTTCATTGGGGCTGGCCCTGTCTTGGCTGCTGGCTCTGGACGTGCAGTGCAAACCAATTATCGAAGGCATGGGGGTCGATCCTCGTCGTATCGAACCTGTCTCACCCGGAACGTGATTCCCCCGTCCGTCTAATCTGGGCAACGCACTCCCAGACGGTATCTGTCCTCCTTCCTTTTACGAACGCCAATTTCAATTGTCGCGCACCAATCTGCGTACCGCAGATGGGAGATTACAATCCTCCCTTGGCTCACTCGTCGTGGAGGAAGGGCTGACACTGACAGCGTCCAATTCCCGGCCGACGTCCCCTTGCGCGCGCCCTTGCATTAGGGTTCTTGGGGGCTTGCCCATCTTTCTCCGATTACGTCGCCCGGTCGGGTGCCCTCAGTGAGGGGAGGATTTGCCGGGCAAGGGGGATGGATGGTGTTTTGGACGAGGGATACGGGAAATGAAGTCACGATCTTTGTTGGTGGGGAGATTCAATCAAAGAACCGCCAAGCTGGGACAAAGGACGTGGGTTGGTTGGGTCTGGGTCTGTGGTTCAATAAAAAAAAGCATTGATGCATTGATTGATGTATTGATAGTACCGTAGTACTTCGCAATGGTGCGCCCCCGCTGGGATCTGCAGCTAGGCCGGTTTGGGGAGGCCCGGAATGGATCCGTCGGTGCTTGTGTTGTGTTGGTGTTGCCGCTTCTTCCTAGGCTTCCATCGTCTGCCCACATCTTATTGACTAGCTGTGGATGGAAGTAATCGGCGCCACCTTATTGCTAGGCTAGGGTCTGAAGGACTCCTCGATCGAAGCAAGTGCATGATGTCATATGCGAGACTCTGCAAGATCCTGGGATAATACGAGAATTCCCTCGTCACCTTCTCCGTGAGGAATCACTCCCATGGTTGCAGGCTCAATGGCCTTGAAGCTGGTGGCCCGTCAGCTGGATCGATCAACACAAGGACATCGTGGTTGATATCCCCAAACCCACGGTCGCAACCCGCTATTAATATCATTAAGTCTCATGCGAAGTGATCATCTGCACATGGCGGGGGTCTGACAATTAACGGCCAACGTGGGCGTCGAGATCGCTAACGGCACCGCGTCATGTCTCTATTGTGTGTCTACACAAAGGTTGCATCGAGGTCTACCACGTCTCCTTCCACCATTTTCCAACCCATGAAACTCATTCTGCCTAGCAAGCAGAGAATTTGGGTTTCCGACGCAGAAAAGCGTGCGTGGATACGAATCCCAAGCCCTTGGCGCATAGCGCACAAAACCTCCCTTCTGTCACTCACGCCCGAACCCATCTCCCCGACGTCAAACCACCCCCCCCTCCCCGCAAAGATACACACAGCCTCAATCCTCACCACACACACCATTCCTACCACACCGTCTACCTCACAGAGCCTCCCGCCGCACCTCCTTCCGCATAAACACCTCCCACAGCCAAATCACCTCCCCGTCCACACTCCGCTCCTCGTACCGCGGCTCCTCCTTCCACCCGACGTACCCGGCCTTCTCATACCACTCCTGGATGCTGAACGCGGGCATGGGCTGGCCCATGCGCGCCCAGATCCCGCGCCACTCGCGCCCCGCCTGGTACAGGTACTTCTTGCTCAGCGCCGTCAGCGCGATGCATTGGCAGGCCGGCTCGCGGGCTGCCTGCTCCTCGATCAGCTGCAGCGCGTGGCGGCCCACTCCTGCGGAGCGGTACTCGGGTAGAAGGAAGAAGGTCTGCAGGGCGAGGATGGATCGGTCGGCCCGCGCGAGGTCTGGGTCCGGGGGGTCGCTGTAGGCGTCGAGGGAGATGTGGCCGGCGCGGATGGTGTTCTTCTGAGATTTAGGGCTGGGGCTGGGAACGACAATCCAGAAGAAGTTCTTCAGGCCTTCGGATTGTTTGGCGTGCCATTGCGCGAGGGTGGTCGGGTGGTGGTCCCAGCCGCAGAGGGTGCGTTGGCGGTGGAGTTCGGTGTGTTGTGCTGGGTCGTTGAGGTTGATGCGCTCGAGGGTGCAGGGTGGGATTGGCATCGTGTTGGCTTGTGGGATGGAGGATAGGCTGGGGTTCTGACGCTGGTTGTATATTGTGTTGGGATACGTGCCCGGGTACCACGAATTGGTGGTTAGATGTAGCTTCTAGACTAGGGCGGACAGTTTATATATAGACCAATCCGATATCGTTGCTCTTATTGTGCCAAGAGCGAAATGGCGTGATTCGCAGCTTCAACTAACTCTAGGCAAACATCGCATTGGAAATGCTTGCACATTCACACTGTCTACGTCGGCATCGGAATCAACTGTCGATGCCGGACTCCGAGCCGCTACCGGCGATAAGCGATAAGCGATAAGCTAGATTCCTTCATCTCCACCAATTCTTGCCTTTTCTTCTGGACCATCACTCGACACAAAACGCGTCTTATGCTTCGTCGCAACGGAAAGCCAACCTCGTGCGAGCCATGTCGGCTCTCCAAGGTTCGCTGTGACCATGCGACGCCCATCTGCCGACGCTGCCAATCGCGAGGCAATGCTAACCAGGTAGGTCCCGGTGACTCATTTCTGTCTCACAGCTGACAACGACAACTGCAGTGCTATTACCACCCCGCCCCGTTGACTCGGGTCAAGGATGCAGGCATTGCGCGCGTGCGCATGCCACCACAACGAGGCGCCATTCATCAATCTTTGTTGGACGCCCCCGACCTGAGTCCGACACCCGAGCTTGCAGCGCCAGACCAACCGCAGACAGACACCGAGACCAAACACGGACAAGACTCCGAGTTCCTGGGCTCGACCAGCTATCTCTCTGTGTTCAAAGAGACCCCGCGCGGGATCTCCGGCAAAGCGAACCGGTCCCTCTACGCCGAGTTCGAGCACTGGCGCACCCAGCATGCCTACGCATCGTCGCGCCTGATTCGCCTGGCCTCCGCCGTGGCCTTCCACCGCGACCAGATCGAGTGGTACCATCGCGTCAGCCGCTTCACCGTGGTGCCCGCCCCCATCATCCTGGACTCGCTGGACCGAGTGCAGGCGTACATCGACCGCAACCCGTGGGACGTCACGGGCAAGTGGAAGGAGCTCTACGAGACCATCACCGCCGCGACCGGACGGCCCCTCGAAGTTTCGAGGGACATGTCAGCCGGCGACTTCTACGCGCAGTTCACCGGCCCGAACCTCCGGTGGGAGTTCATTGCCTTGGTCTTCGCCTCGTCCGGAATCAGCGCCATGGTCCGGTACCCCGGCCACCAGGTCGTGGCGCTGGCGCACGGGGAGACGATGACCGTGGAGACGTTCATGGAGGAGATGGTCCTGGCGGGCAACGCGTGCATCGAGATCAGTAAACAGTTCGGCCACGTCAACGATCTGATCCTGTGGGCGCGCTACATGCATGCGCATCTGGCGATGGAGGTCTTGGGCGATACGAGTAAGTGCCCCCGGCTGTGGTGTATCCTCAGCCCCCAGACTCACGAACAGACAGGTGAACGACTCTACAGCCTCTTCGGCGACCTGATCTCCAACATCTACACCATCGGCCTCCACCACCAGCCCTCGCGCGACGTGCCGTTCTTCCTGGCCGAGACAAGAAAGCGCATGCTGGCCGTCACCCATCGCACGGACAAGAACCTCGCCACGCTGATGGGGCGCCCTCCGCGTCTCCTGCACCAGTACTGCGATGCAGCCCCACCGCTGGACATCGCCGACGAGGACCTCTTCCTCGACGGCCCGTCCCTCAACGCCGTCCTGGCCGCGCTCGACGACCACGGCTGGCACCGTGCGAGCAGCTTCATGCCCGCGACCGTCATGCGCATCCGCCACTTCCTGTCCACGCTGCGCGAGCAAGTCCTAGAACTCTCCTTAGGCAACAAATCCGCCGCCGACTATGGCGATCGTGTGCTGTAAGTCTCTTCTCCTTTTGTTCACTTCTCGTCCTGTTTCCATGCTAATGAAACTAAGTAAAACATACCACCTCTGCCAAGAAATCCTAACACAAATCCCCGCGCGCTTCCACTACACCGCGGACTGCTGGCAGACCCCCGAGAGCGAGCTGATGGAATCCCTGGCGCGGATCCTCGTGCAGTTCGACTACCAATTCAGCGTGCTGCACCTGCAGCGCATCCGCTGCAAGACCCGCCGCGCCAACGCCACCGCCGACCTGATGGACACCGCCCTGCAGGTGCTGTCGATGGTCATGGACCTGACGCGGATGTTCCACTCGCACGAGATCCAGCGCCAGTTCGCTTGCATTGTACGTCTCCCCCGCGTTCCAAACCAGACCTCTCCCGCCCCCGGCCCAATCTTAATTAGTGATCCTAATGACGGCCAAAGTATTTGAGTTACGGCATCCCCGCCGCCGGCATCCTCGTCACCGAGCTGCATAGCCACACCCTCGCCAACCGCGCCTTCCCCGCCGCCACCCCGCGCTCCGAGATCATCCGCTCGCTCAGCGTGCTCCTTGCCTGGGTGCAGGCCACGCCGCTGCCGCCGTCGACCACCGCCGTCGCCGCCCGGGAGCTGACCAAGGTGGTCAGCCGGCTGTTGGATGATGCGCTGAATCATCAGCCGGGGGTTGTTGCGGTGGGGGTGGGGATGGGGGTGGGGGGAGCCGGCCCCACGGGCGGGGAGGTTCTCGCTCCGACGGTGCGTGAGTCCGGGGATCTCCTCCCGCCGGGCTTGGTCGAGGGGTTCCAGCTGCCGTCGGAGGCGCTCGGGGTGGGCCTCGCTAGTGAGGGGTTTTTGAGCTGGTTGGATGAGTTGGATTTGGGGTTGATCTCGGGGGAGGGGTTGGTCTGATGCCCTCCTACCGGGTTCTGTCACGTGTGTGCTTGTGCACTGTACAGTATATCATGTGACTCGCTGTAATCTCGTCGCATCCGGAAATTCTTATCTTTTGTGTCCATTTGACCTTGACAAGTCAGCAGAATCCGGTTCTAGATGTAGGCCCTCTGTCCGATCTCGCGGGCCGAGCACGGCTCATTCGCCTACCGGAGCATAAGCTCGCATCCTCCCGAATGCCCATCGAGACGATATCTGGCTTGCGGCTATACTAGAGAGGAACCGAACCCAGGCAGTCTGGCCGTGGGCCACAATCCTGCGGGGAGAGGGAGGGGCAGGTGCAGGTGCATGCTTCATCCCAGAGGCGGAGGGTGCGAGATGTTTAGCAGGGGGTGCAGGAAAGACAGTACAGGACTGTGGTTCCTGTTGCTTTTGTCCGCGACCAGCTGGCTGGCTCCCTCCCTCTCCACACGCACGTGATGTTGTTCGTTAGCAGTCTGTTATCGCCGGAAGACGGAGGCCAGCAGGGTTGTTGTTCACTTAAGCGCATGATTGTTCTTCTTGCTACCGTCGGTCCTATTTAGTGGTGTGTTCAATCTCCTGAACCTGGAGTTTGCCTATCCGTCGGAATATGTGATGTATATATCCTGATTTGGGGCTGGGGGGACAGAAAAGGAGACCGGGGTATGTAGGGCTTTTGGCACATATGGGAATTTTCCGGCCGAAGGAATGGGAGGAGATCGATTGGATGTGTAGTTATGAATGAAGCTATCGGATCGCAAATATCGCACGGCAAAGGTTATGTAGAGAGAAGAGCGGGAGAGCGGGACCGGTGCAGGTTGCTCGAACAGGTGGTGGGTTTGGGGGTGTCGTTGACGGATGACCGAAGCACCCGGTGGACGGACGAGTAGCCCACCGTAACTTACCCGTGGCTGTGCAGACAGGATCGATGGCTCGGGACCCCTGCTTCAAAAAGGCCGTCTGGACGCGTTTGGAGGATGCGGATCCCTGTCGATCGAATGCGTAGCATTTGGTTTCTCGTGGACGGGGCTTTTACCCATTCGGGAATGAGATATTCTGCGCAGAATGGGGATGGGCGAGGAGTTGCGGGGAAAATTCTGCGCAGAATGGCGATGGGCGAGGAGTTGTGTGAAATCGCGTACCAGGGCAGATGGTGGAATGGATGGTGGAAGAGAGTGAGAGAGGGAACAATGTGCAATTGTGGGAGAACTGGTGTGATAGAGACATGGAAGGTGTACAGGCTAGCGAGGTCTACTCGACGTATAAAGAGGGCGGCGGGGAGAGCTTTTTGAGAACGGGGGGGCAGACGTTCGACACAGTCAACGATTCGATCTACACCGTGAAGCGAATCTGAATCCAGCGCAATGAACAAGTTCAGCTGCCTCGAGCTTAGTAGCCAGAGTTGTGCACCGTGTCGACTCCACAGCACCATGGTATGTGATGCCCAGTCTAGGCTTTGCGAGCTTCTCGTCTCCCGAGTATGTACTCATATTCGGCCAGTGCCCGGCATCTCATTCGCCGAAAGCGTCGGTTCACGACTGCACCTGTTGCCAGGCATACCATCTCCATGCACGCTCGCTATACCTGTCTGTCAGACAGCCGCACAATTTAGGCTATAATCAGAATGCTGGTGGGGGTGCTGCCGCGGTCTTGTTCAAAAGCCTCATCCAGGCCGACTGGAGCAGCTTCGGGATCTTATTCTCCTCGACGACGAGGTTACCGGGCGCAAGCATCTTTTCGTCCCGTGCCGTTGCGGAAAAGGTCTTCAGCGCCTTCATACTCCGGCTCGAATTGCTTGAATTGCTGGCCGTGCATCAGGAGTTGGTTGGCGCAGGGATATCACTCGGCTTGGATGCTGTGGCTGCTCGGGCGGTTGCTTCGCAGAGGCTGGCTGTTTGGCTAAGCGGTCGGGATGGTCATGCAGAGGACGAACCGCAGATCCTGGACTGGGCGCAGGAGATGGACGATTTGATCGCGCAGGCTGCTGCGTGGCAGCTCCTCCTTGATACTGTTGGGGGCGGTCTAGAGGTACTTCTTCTGGACTATGATGTCCATCCTTCAACTGTGCTCCATGCGGGGCTGGAACTCCGAGAAGCGTGCGTGGGGCTGAGTGGCGTGGCGGAGATGCTGATATGCCTGCATGGCTCGCGCTCTTGTCAAAGAAGGTGGTCCCTGGCTCGGGAGATCCAAGTTCGGGTTCGGTCTAGTATTAGGAACTGCAGCGTTGGTGGTGCCGGGCCCGATGAGGATGTGAGAATGGAAGGTGCAGAGTGAGATTGATTAAGCAGGATTGGGATGACTCGATGCTGACTGTGGCTTACTTTTCTGTCGTTGCCTTGCCATGCCTACACATTTATTCGAGAATTGAAATGCCTACCCGAGCCTTTCTCGGGCGACGTTTCGATTGGGGTCTAGTTGAAGATCATCTTAGCGCCACTCGATTCTAAGCCTCGCTCGACTGTAAGCCTCACTATGTGGGAGCGGGCCGTAGAGGGGATCATATGTAGAGAGGGCATAAACCTTATCAGTACAAGATTTCAACCTGTGGGTTTTGGTGATTGACTGCCAACTACTCCGTATCAAATAGCCCTATTCTATGATGGCTGGAATGGCCCGGGCCCTCCGACGGAGCCCTCAACCGCTGGACCATCTGACCGCGGATCCTCCAAGGGCAGAGCCTACACTAACCCCTAAGTGTGTGCAGGAGTCAGACGGAAAAGCCCCAGAGGGACACCGAGTCAAGAGACGATGGTTGGCCAGAGAGAATTAGTGCCATGCACCACACAGTGGACTAAATTAGTGGCGGCTGTGTTGTAGCGCTAACAGGAAGGCTGGGGAATATTAAAGGAGACATGGAGAGGGAAATCGAAGAAGCCCCTCCTTACCTGCTTGGTATTCACTTTCAGTCCCTAGGGCTGTTGTTACCATCCACTGAAGATATCCCATTTACTGACTAGCAGTTGCGATGCCCTTTGATTGTTGGGGTTGTGGGGGCAGGAACGCGGCCGACGCCGCTGCCGACGCCGCTGCCCCTCCGCGGCCGGTGCATCTCGTCTCCCCCTCTTCCTCCTCCCATTCAGTTGCAAAACCACCCCCAGTCACGCGTTCTCCCTCTCAAATCCCCGTTCCACCACAGAGAGCTTCATCAGCATCGGCATCGAAGAAGCACGACCTCTGGAAACGAGCAGAAGAACAATTGGACGAGAAAAGCCGCAAACGGCTCCGGTTGAGCCACGACAGCAACTCCCCCTCGCCCCCGATCGATCGAGTGCTGGCGGAGATCATCAAAGAGATCACAGCCAAGTACCAAGACTACCAGAAAGGCAACCTGAGCATCCGAAACCGCGGCGATGGTGGAACCAAAGTCGATGTTCGAGGCTCCGCCAAGAAGGTCCTCGTCTGCGTGCTACAAGCCCAGGGTCTTATTAAGGATGTGGTCGGGTTCGATCCCACCGGCTACGCCTCCATCGCCTGGTCAGTCGTGGCCTTCGGGCTCACGCTGATCAAAAATGACATCGATCGGCGGGACGCGATCATGGATGCATCGGAATTTCTCGCCCAGTCTCTTGCATACCATAGTGTCATCGAGCACAATTATCGGAAGGGAACCATTCCAAGCTCGGCAAATTTGGACGATGCGTTGGTGGAGGTCTATGTCGCTCTTCTTCGGTACATCGCAGAAGTCCAGAGTGCGAGACATGAGAGCGCCGTTGCTCGAGTGGGAAAGAGTATAACTGCTCTGATCGACGAGCCGCTCGACCGACTCAGGGCGGTGGTGGAGCAGAAAAGCGCTGTCGTGGATCAATGGAAGATGATCGTGAGAGATGAGGATCAGAGTCGCCATGCCGAGGATATTTTGGGGCGGATCGACGAGATGGCTAGACAAGTGCACAGTATCGATCTTCGGACTAATGATCAAGAGGAACTCAGCATTCTCGACTGGATTTCCACGTTCTCTTACTCCAACATTCAGAATGAGACCAAGAAGAGTCGTTCGCCGGAGACGGGAGCCTGGTTGGTGCAGTCCAGCGACCGGTATCAACGGTGGAAGACCACACCGGGACAACTTCTGTGGCTGCATGGCCCTGTGGGTTGCGGCAAATCAGTTCTGTGCTCCACCATTATTGCCGACATTGACCGCCACTGCACTCAAAACATGCCCAACGTTCTCGCGTACTGGTACTTCAAGTTCAGTGACAATGAAACACAAAGCATGGAGAGTATGGTCCGATCGTTCATACGGCAATTGTGTCCCCGGCCTATTCCCAACCCGATCAGAAAGATCTGGGAAGACCATCGCAGGAATCGAGAGCCGGACTTGGAAGTACTCTTAGCAATCTTCAATGGAATCTTAGATCTGCTGCCTGCAGACATATTTATCATCTTTGATGCTCTCGACGAATGCCCGGTTGAGACTCGAGAAAGGCGCCTCTTGCCTTTCATGGATGGATTGATAAGAGATTTTTCGACCAAGGCCCACCTTCTTGTCACTAGCAGACCGGAACCTGACATTCACCAGGCTCTTATGCAACACACCCTATTTGGGCTGGAGGATGCTTTGAGCGGAGATGTCGAGAAGTTTGTGCAAGAGAGGCTGGCCAATGGTAAGTTGCGTAGATGGAATCGCCCTATCCTTGAGAGGATAGAACACGAACTGCTGAATGTTTCAGAAAGGCAAGTCATGGATCCCAATTACAATCCTTATCCGTGCTGATCATCAAATAGACGATTTCGTTGGGTTGATCTGCAGCTCAAGCGCCTAGAAGGATGTCACATTCCCCAAGACATCGATGAAGCGCTAACGACAATTCCCAACACTCTTGAGGCGACGTATAAAGACATCCTTGAGCGCGAAATTCTACCAAGGTACCGCGATGCAGTACGATCTATTTTCACTTGGCTCACTTTCTCCATGAAGCCTCTAAGTCAGGAAACCGTCGCAGAAGTAGCCGGCTTCCCATCACCGGATAGTGTGATCGAAATTTGTACAACTCAAATGGTTACTCTGAATACAGGGGATGGGACTATCAGGCTTGCTCACTTTTCCGTGAAAGAGTTTCTTCTTTCTGAGCAAGTAACTCATTGGTGCCACATGTCAGAGATACTTGGGCATCGCCTCATTCTTGACCAGATGTTGACGCATATTCTCGCCGAAGAAGAGGACTTATCACTCATGGCTGCCATGAGTAAGCCACTTCTCCGCTACAGTAGTGAAAACTGGCCCGACCATCTTCGGAAGTTGGAAAGCTTGAAACCCGACCCATTGCAGGAGATCTATTCGATGTTGATAAAACTCTTCACCGAGCCCCTTATATATCACAACTGGCAACGGTTGTATTCGTTCGACTTTTCCTACACCAAACAGGCATGGCGCCGCTGGACCGAAGCAGCCCGGGTGCCGCCAATCGAAAAGGCGATCATTCTGCAACTGGGATGCCTGGTGGACCTACTGGTGCAGACGGGCTCTGAAACTCTGAATAACATAGAAAATACGAATAAAAGCACGCTGGTTTACGCGGCCGAGCATAGTGTTACCATTCTGGCATTTCTCTTACAACGTGTCATTACCATTCCCTTGCAGGAGGTGCAGGAAATCCTCTTTCAACTACGCCCTCGATCCACTCAAGAGAAAGAAACCTTATGTCTCGTCATAGACCTGCTCTGGAACATGGGTGTGCTGCACGACCGGGGAAAGAGCGACGAGCCGACTCATTCAGGTCTGCTTGTCAGTATGGCGAAGAACCGCCACTGTGGAGACGTACTCCTCAGGCTATGTCTCGATCGCGGGGATAGAGAAACACCCTCGGTGACGACAGAACTTCTTGAGGTCACGTTACAGAATAACGACTGTGGTGCTAGGGTGTTGGAAGTCCTAATTCAGCGACGAAGCGAGAGAATAATGTTCACAGAGCGGATTATGCAGACTGTGGCAGAACAATCGAGTTCCAATCCGAGTCTGGCGTGCCTCGTTCTGGAACACCAAAACCGCATTGTTTGTCTGAAGCGCGAGCATGCAGAGATCTTTGCTCGAACAGCCAACGGTGAACTCTTGAAATTGGTTCTTCGGGTTTATGGGGAGCATCTAATGGTGGAACGCAACGTCTTAGTTGCAGCGATCAGTAATCCCAGTGCCAGGGACGTGGTTCGCGGCCTCTTGACTGGCAGAGAACTTAGTGCCAGCACCCAGCAGAACATTCTTTCTGCCGCTGCTGCGATAGAGAGATGGGAATACTTAGATTTGATCAACTTTCTCTTGGATGAATGGGGTCCGCGCTTCAATATTGGCCACCAGATGATGGTCGCCGCCGTCTCGAATCGTCTTCTGGGGCTCGCCATTCTTGAGACGTTGCTCGCTCGACAACAGGCCGGGTTCATGGTCTCGGATGAAATTCTTGTGCTCGCTGCCAAGAAGAATACGATACAGGTCCTGCAATTGCTTATGATCAACGGAGGCTCGACAATCCCAATTCGAGATGAGTTGGTGTTTGCGGCGGCAAGGAACGACCTCCGGGGGCTGTCGGTGCTCCTCTTTCTCTTTCCCCTCCTCGGGCCCGACTATGTCGTGTCGTCGGAGCTTCTCCAGACAGCAGCAGAAAACCCCAACAAGTACAGAAGACCATGGGAGACCAGCAAAGAGTTTCAGGCTGTCTTGGAAAGTTTCACCGGCACCACCGTGCCCGACAGCGTCTTTCTGGCCATGCACGATCAGGTCGACCATATGAAGGTCCTTTTGGACTGGTCGAACAACAAAGCGCCAGTAAATGAGATATTTCTGGCAATCTGCCACAACGGCGACCTAGGCGCGTTTCACACTCTGCTACTACTTCTTGATCGGGACCTTTTAGTGGCGGATGAATGGTTTGTGGAAACTTCGGCCTGCGCCCCAGGCCTCTTGTGGCATATCCTCGGCCACATTCCTCGGGTGCCGATCACCGATAGAGTGATTAGTTCCGTGAGGGACAAGAGATCTCTACGATATCTCGTGCAACATCTCGAGGAGAAAGATATTTGGACCGAGGAGCTTGTGAAAGCCGTCATCAGTACAACGTTTGTGGAGACTGAGGCCCTTATCGAAATTCTAGAACACTACATCGGCAAGGCGCCCATCACTGAGAGTATACTGCTGATTGCCGCGAAGCGTGATACACGTCTACTCGAATTTTTGCAGCAAGCAAACCACTGAATTGAATAGTCCACACCAATAGTCCATATAACTTATGCCCCGTCGCTGCACCGTACCTTATCTTGTCTCCGTGGTTGATCTATGGCATTGAAGCTTTCATTGTTAGGAAAGTTCGGTACCAAACCTCAGTACCACCTACGATGCAACCGCCCCCTTCAATATTGTTTTACCCCGGATAGCCAGGCCTGGATCCGTACTCGCCTCAGCCCTACGCCCTTATGACCGTGTATGAGCTGTCTTATCGATTCCAGCCGTGTGTAATTGATCTACAGTTTCAGATAAGACGGTATCAGGCAACACCTTAACTATAAATAGCGTGGGCGCCCCCAATGTTTCAGGGGCCCCGCGTTACGTCATCCAGCCCCGCCTTTTAAAAGCCACGCAATCCCCGAAGCAACCCTGGATACCCCAACAACCATAACAATTGACTCTTCATCATCACTACTCTCTGTATCTCTATCACTCTTTATTTTCACTGCCCATACCTCAATCATCATGCCTGACTTTGGACACAAGATTCTCAACAAGCTGGGTCTTCACGACCACCACGACCACCACGACCAGCAGCAGCAGCAGCAGCCCCCGCCGCAGCAGTACTACCCGCCGCAGCAGCAATACCCCGGCCAGCAGCAATATGACCAACAACAATATAGCCAGTATAATCAGCAACAATACAACCAGCAGCAGTACCAATACAATCAGCAACAATATGGCCAGCAGCAATACTATCCTTCACCCGGCCAGCAGCAGCAGCAACAACCAATGGGCTACCCAGGTCAAGGCCACGGCCACCCCCGCCCCAACCGCCACGTCCACCACGACGAGCGCTCCCTCACTTCTGAAAACGGGGGCACCTACCCGCGTCTCGCCCGTCTCTCCGATGGCTCCCTCCTCTCCTCCTTCACCCGCTTCCCTGGAAACGGCGAACGCGCCCTCGTTGTCGCCCGCAGCACCGACGGCCACAACTTTAAAGACATCGGTGAAGTCACCCGCGGCACGGGCGACACGGACAACCTGTTTCTACTAGAGGTGGCTCCCTCTGTCGTACTAGGGGCGTTCCGCAACCACGATCACGATGCCTCCGGTCGTGTTACCCATTTTCGTATCACGGTCTGCCGGTCCCACGATGGCGGCCGCACCTGGCAGTTTGCCTCGCAGGCAGCCGAAAAGTCCGGCAGCGACGGGTTGGGTATCTGGGAGCCGTTCATGCGCATTGGGAGCGGGGGAGAGGTGCAGCTCACCTACTCGCAGGAGATGGCTCCGAACAACCAGTGCACAATGCTGGTGACCTCGACCGACCATGGCAGCACTTGGTCGTCGCCACCTCGGTGCCTGCATGGGGAGAATGACAACCGCCGTGACGGAATGAACGGCATCGCGCGGACCTTCGATGCCGGCCTCGGAAAGAACGTGCTGGTCATGGTGTTCGAGACCAACACCAAGGGGCCCATGCAGATTGAGGCCCTCATCTCGGACGACGATGGGGAGAACTGGGGCCGTCGACATGTCGTGTATTCACCCCACGATGGGCACCGGCATAACGCCGGCGCGCCGCAGATCGCCTCCTTCGCGGATGGATCGCTGGCCGTCGTGTTCATGACCGATGAGGACCACGACCAGGTGGATTGGGTCAAGAATGCGTCCATCAAGGCGGTGTTTGCGCCGCCCCCGAACAATGGCCGGATCCATTGGGATCAGACCTCGACATCGATCTGTGCTGATTCGAGCCACTGGCCCGGCGTGTTTGCCCTGGATGGACATACGCTTCTGGCCACGTATGAGTGCAAGGGGCCCAAGGCGAGGGCCATCTCGCTGCAGTGAGACCTCCCCTGCTTATTATTTTTTGCTCCGGTGAAACATCTTGGTTATCATGTTCGGATGACCATCAATGGCTGGTCCATCGTGTCAATTTTTGTGTTGTATGTGTGTGAATAGGACAAATGTGGTGCATGATTTCACATAGTCATCTTTAAAAATAGGTTTCATGAATACCATTGACGATAGCAAGAGATGAAGTCGGGACTACCGCTTCCATGGACTGTTCAGATTACATCTCTGGTAGAGGCACTGAGCACCGTTCAGGCTCCGAGTTCAGAGTGATTTTGACCTTGAAGAGATCTACCTTACTAAAGTCCAGGTCAAACCTCTGGTGACCCGCTGACAGCTGACAAGGATGACCTTGAGCAACCATACTTTTCATTATGGTCACCCATTACCTATTGACAAGCTTGATATAGTGTAGGTCGTGAGAAATGAAATAACTTAGCCTCGTGTTCAATAAGGACCCTGAAGCGATAGAGCCCTGAAACAAGCGACGAAGTTGGCACACTAGGTCGACATGAGACGAACCCCTCTCGTCATCAGCGAGTCATGGGTGGCAGCCCGCCAGAACACCGGGTCAGGCACCGGATATGCAATTCCAAGGTCGGGACAGGGTGTCAGATGTGCCCCTCCGCTGCCGATCATCACCAGTGACAGAAGGAGCAGATCGTGGTTGAGTCCCGAAGAGGCAAGATGATGATAAGCGAGGAGGGGGGCCTCGCTCTTGGCGCGGAAGCAGCTGACTAAGGACAGTCGGGAGACCTTGCCTCTTCGGGAGCAGAAATTTTAAGCTCGCCGAGCGGGAAAGCCCCCGCAAGTTTCCCGCCGCCCACTCTGATTGGCGGACAAGCGACAGCCGCGAGCGGAGAGCATCCACCAGGGCGGGGCGGACATTAGGTAATGGAAGAGCACGATTGGTCAGGAGGGAATTCTAGATGTAACCTGGCCGGGCCGCAGAGATTGAATGCCCATGAGGCAATAATATTCGGGGTGGGCGAACGCCAGTGACTCAGAATGGCCACACCTGCCACTTTCCTCGAAGCACGCCTTTTTGTTTTGTTTATCTCTTCATCCCTCACTTCAATTCGTCTGGCTGGGAAAAGCTAGTAGCTGCCAGCTACCTGTACCTTACCTAGTAATTCTGCGTGTGTTCGGGGAGTTCGGTGGATTCATCCTCCCTCGGACGATCCCGCCTTGCCGCTTTCGGAAAAATTCTGCACTCTTCCCCAGCTCATCCGGTTTTTCTTTCATCCTTAATACCTCCTCACCTCGGCTGTGTCGGAGAGCTTGAACTTTGAAGAGAGGAGAGAGTTGAGACTTGCTCCCTCCCCTCCCTTCCCCTCCCCTCTACCCCTCGTACATCATACTAGGATGTCGCAACCCATGAGCATGGCCGTGGACGGTCACGGTGCTGCTGAATTGAATCATGCGCCCCAGTATGATGTCGCCCTGCACGACAAGGAGGAGAAGCAGGAGGATCGCAAGGGCAGTCCCATCTATCAGGACACCTTTGGTGATGAGGAGTATGCCGAGGTCAAGTACAAGGTTCTCAGTTGGTGGTAGGTTCGCCATTTCCTCTTCAATTGATCCAATTCCTCGTTCATCTAGCTGACTGACTGCTCCCAGGCAATGCGGTTTCCGTGAGTCTTGCTACCTGCCGCGAAGATCCGCTTGATACTAATTTGATAGTCATGGTGGCCGAAACCGTGTCCTTAGGCATCCTCTCGCTTCCCGCCGTCGTGGGTGTCTTGGGTCTGGTCCCGTATGTATCACTGCTCTGTAATGTCTTAATAACAGGCTGACTGGTCTAGTGCCATCATCCTTCTGCTGGGATTGGGTCTCTTAGCCACCTACACCGGCTACACCATCGGCCAGTTCAGATGGGCCTACCCGCACATCCAAAACATGGCCGATGCCGGCGAGGTTCTTTTCGGCAGTTTCGGTCGTGAGTTCTTCGGCACCGGCCAACTGCTCCTCGTTGTCTTCATCATGGCCAGCCATATTTTGACCTTCACCGTGGCCATGAACACGATCACCGAGCACGGCACGTGCACGATTGTGTTTGGTGTGGTTGGCGTGGTCATCTCTTTCTTCTTGGCTCTGCCCCGAACCTCAGCCAACGTTTCCTACCTGTCGGTGGCTTGTAAGTGTGCGACTATTATGTCGGTTATCATGTTCTAACACTCGGACAGCCTTCATCAGTGTCTTCTCCGCTGTCATGATTGTCATGATCGCTGTTGGTATCCAGCGTCCCTACAAGGGCGCGCTCGAAGTCACCGTGGACACCAGTCTGTACAAGGCATTCCTTGCTGTGTGCAACATTGTCTTCTCATTCTGTATGTCTTTACACTACTTTGACTTGGACACTTGCTCACAATTACACAGCCGGCCATGTGGCTTTCTTCGGTTTCATGTCCGAACTCAAGGACCCCCGCGATTACCCCAAGTCCCTGTGTCTGCTGCAGGGCATCGACACGGTTCTCTACATCGTCACTGCCGTCGTGATCTACGTCTTTGCCGGACCCAACGTGACCTCCCCCGCGCTCGGTTCAGCCGGCCCGATGATTGCTAAGATCGCCTATGGCATTGCTCTGCCGACAGTGAGTGGCGACCGTTCACTGAAGACGGTTCAGCTGAAGCTAACATAATCTAGATCATCATCGGCGGAGTCGTCAACGGCCATGTCGCCTGCAAATTTGTGTATGTGCGGATCTTCCGCAACAGCGACCGCATGCACAGCCGCGACCTCGTGGCCACCGGCTCCTGGGTTGCCCTCATGCTGGTCCTGTGGATCGTGGCATGGATTATTGCCGAAGCCATTCCTGTCTTCAACGATCTTCTGAGTTTGATTGTAGGTGCACATCCTGATGTTGATATGTTCCTCGCTGACTGACTTCACCAGGCCTCCCTTTTCGCCAGCTGGTTTACTTGTAAGCATACCCATGTCACCGTTGGCCCGCATATTCAAGACTAACAAGGTCACAGTCGGATTCAGCGGCATGTTCTGGCTGTACCTCAACAAAGACCGACTATTCTCGTCCCCGAGAAAGATCGCGTTAACCATCCTCAACGCGCTGATCGTGGGTATCGCCGCTTGCGTGGTAAGTGCTGCTTTGCTTTCTCGCCTTGAGATATTGGCTAACAACGAGTTCCAGTGTGGTCTTGGACTGTACGTCTCGGGACGCTCGTTACACGAAGACGCCAATAGCTCGAGTTTCTCCTGTGCGAATAATGCATGAGCGGGCGGGAGTTGTAAATTTTGGGGTTCGGTGTTGCATATACTTGCATGATTTTGTATAATACTTTGTTTTGGACAGATGGCACTGGTATAGTGGTGTGCATCTGTGATTATAGATATTGCATTTGAATTTGTCGATACTATGGATGGTCCGTTCATTGATAGGAGATCGTCTCCGCCTTGAGTTCGATCCTGCCTGCGCCAAGCCTGCTTTCGCTATGGACCGGGCGGCATGGGACCAATCACGTGACATGAAGGCTATGACTGTCAGAGCGAGGCACAGCCTGCATCAGACACTATCCTAGGTGTGACTACATGGATACCAAGTGTCTTGATACCGTGTAGGGAATTGAGCGTGGGAGGACGAAAGCCGAATCCCTGATCGGAGTGGTCGACAACCAGCTCTCAGCGGTGAATGATCGACGATAGCATTACTCAGGTTCTGGCAATTCGCTTCCACCACCAAAGAGGATTCCAGCCTCTCATTACAAAACTTGATCGACGCTCTTGAGATGACCGCAGACGAAGATACGGGGGTCTGTTCAGCCGGCCAACCCCCAATAATGTCCATGCCGGTGACAGCGGCCAAATAGGGTCATGTGACTGACCGCACCCTACAACTTCTCGCCTCCTCACCTTCTCCAAGGATCAACCATGTTGAGACAACACACATAACCTCGAGACAAGAAAACGACTCAAACTTGACGTGGCTTGTTGCCTCGGCCTCGATACGCTGCCGAAGCAGTCGTCCCACCGTCCGCGTCATGTGACGGGAATATGCGACCTCCCGATGAACAAACGGGGCTGCCGATCGAGTCGAAATGGTACGATTAGGGAGCGGCGTGGCATTTGTAGCAGACGTGTTGTCTCTCTGTGGCGTGCCTAGTCGTTTGCGGGTGGTTAGGGGTGGCTGTTTGTTCTGTGGTACGGTAGTTCAGGAAGACTCCAAACAGGAAGGGGTTATCTGGAGGGCAGGTCGACGTTAAAGATCCCCATCACTCTGTTGCTGCCATCCATATCTCCTTCTACCAGACTAACTTGTGCTTTCGCCTTTTCTCAAGCTGTCCCGGGCTATACCTGCACGCACACACACAAACCCACACGCCCCCACACATATACTATGAAGTACGAGCCGTGGGAAGTGCCCCAGCTCCACCAGCAAGCCACCGGAGCGTGGGCCAAGGAGCTCGACGAAGCGATCGACTGCATCACCGGCGTGCTCGTCCCGAACCGAATCATCTTCCGATTAGGCTACGGCTTCACCTCACTGGAGCTGTGGATCGAATGCGGCCGGGGTCAGTTTCTGAAGGCGTTCGAAAATTCAGACACGTAGGTTTTGTCCCGCCCTGGCCCTAATCCCGTCCGTCGGCCTCCCACTGTCTTTTCCTTTCCCTCCTCAAAGTACCTTTCTTCATAGCCCAGAAAAGTTAATCAAAAGTCCCCAAACCCTCTCCCCGCAGATTCCACACCCCCAACATCCTCCCCCAATCACACACGGAACTCGAGCTCTTCTACATCTGCCCGCGCAACTCACAGCCCGCTTCCCCACAGCAACAGCAGCTAGTCCTGATCAAATGCTACTGTGCGGGGCAGCAGTACGCGCCGCCGACGCTGTTCCAGGCCGAGGTGGTGGCGGGCGTCGCCTGCTACCACTTCTACTTCGTGCGGTGCGTCCGGTACGGGGTGCACCACCCGTGGTTCAACCTGCTGTACGAGCGGCTGGCGTCGTATGTTCTGGCGCGGCCGGAAGAGGTGCAGGCGATCAACGGGCGGCTGTCGTTCTACGGACGGCAGGTGTTTGTCCACGCGTGGCGGCAGGAGAATCCGGCGGAGACGGGGGCGTTCATGGAGCGGGTTTTGGGGGTGTGGGCTTAGGCTTAGGCTTAGGCGAGAGGTTAGGAGGGGGGATGGTGAGTTGAATTGGGGATGTCCTTCAAGCGGGAATTGGTTGTTAGAAAGAGGGAGAATGCTTAGCGGTCAGCTTCATGTGAGAAATACTTATTACAGTATAATTCGAGCATTTCGGGCTTCTCCGCAGGCTCCACACACCCAAGAGTCCAACATGCCACAAGCGACCACATTCACGAGAAGACTACCACACTACCAGACTACCACTCCTGCACCTCCCCAGTATACAGCACCACCTTCCCGCCCACCCGCTCTTTTGTCCCAGTGGTCAACACCTCCACCATCCCCCCCACCGACTCCTCAATACTCGTCGGCGCAGCCTCCATCCCCCACCCCTGCGCCGCCGCATTGCCCATATCCGTCTGCACCCAGCCCGGATCCAGCACGAAGGCGTTGAGCCACGCGTCCTCGGCATTAATGCGCACCCCGTACCAGGTCACCATCGCCTTGGAGGCGCCGTACACCGCGCTGGGGACGGGCGGCTGACGTCTGTACCACAGTCAGTCAGTCAGTCAGTCGAACTCATCTCCACCCCCCCATCCCCCTCCTCAGCCCTCTCCCTGGGCAAAGAAAAGGGGAAACGGAAACATACCCCAAAGCCCCAGCCCCAGACCCCATGATCGCAAACACCGGCTTGTCCGTGGTCGTGGACTTCTGTAAAAGGTCCCGCGTCGCCTGGTAGAGCGCCACCACGCTCAGGACGTTGGTCTCGACATGCTCGCGGATCTCGGGCAGCTGGACGTCCTTGACCAGCGGGTAGGACTGGGCGATGCCTGCGTTGGCGACGACGATGTCGAGGTGGGTGATCCCGTGTGCGGTGGTGAGTTGCTGGATGGCGGTCTGGGCGGAGGTGGCGAGGCTTGCGTCGTAGGGAATTATGAGGAGGTGGGTGCTGGGGTCCCGCGGGAGGGTGGGGAGGGTTTGGGCGGTGGGGTGGCTTGGGGTGCGGACTGCTGCGATGACCGTCTGGTTTTGTGTGAGTGTGATGGTGTTGGATGGCGGTTGGGGAGGAGGGGGTGAAGGGGCAAGACGAACGTGGTTGGGTTTCTGGAGGAAGAGCTTGAGGAGGCCCTGGCCGAGGCCGCGGTTGGCGCCGGTGATGAGGACGGTGGTTGTCATTGTGGTGGATGGTCTTGGGGGTTGGGGTTTGTCAAGGGAGAAAAGGATCTCGGACTCGGGGAGGTATCTCAATGCAACTGGGAGATGAACTGGGTAGATGGTTTAGGAAGAATGGGAGAAGAAGGATGCTTATATACCTCAGAGCAAGCCACTGTTAGCAGTTGATGTAACCGTTTTGCTGCGTAATGAGTTCAGGTACAGGAACAAGAGACACCATTACGGACTGACTAACCAATAAGATGATACTATCAGCGCAAATGCTGTGCACGGTGCATTGAAGATAAGCTAGAGATAACTTTATCGCGATGCATTTCTAAGCATCTTGGATTTCTAAGCACTGAAACGCCGCGCTAAAGAGGGTGTTGCGAGACAAACCTATGAGATCGTGTATACTAGGCGACGTAGCCAATCGGAATCTTGACTCCGGACAGGTAGTTTAGTATCCACTTGACTGGGCCACCAATCATGAACTTGCCCTGGAGCCCTGGTATTCCACCCTGTGGCACCCCCCACGGTGTTCTATCAGAAGCGTTATGCACGTTAACATCACGACACCTCCCTCTTAAAATTGCGATAGTACCCAGTCATCCCAGTCGCCCTACAGATCCGTGAAAGTCAGTCCGCCCATGCATGCTCTCGGTTAACGGCTAAGAGGCGCATTACCTTGGACTCTTAAGGAAGGCTACCACGCGAGTTTATTGCAGGCCTTTGCGCAGGCTGCCACGTGATTCTCGCTGGGCCTTCCTCTTCCTCTCCTTAATTGCTCTCCTGTCACTCAAAAGGCAAGTGACGATTTTTCATTACTTGCCATTTGTGATAGCGAACAGCGACCTTGGACCGGTGTGCTTGTCCATGAGGTCGGCCTAGCGAAGTCAATGCTTCCGCGGACTCCCCTTCCTTATACGCCGTGACGACAGATCGACCTCATAGCTGACCTTGCTCTGCACGGTCCGCTGGAGGGGAGAGGCACTCTGCTAACAATCGATGTCCGCGACCGGTCAAGTCTTATCCGTCAATTCCCCTGTTCCAGCTGCAGGGGTAAGGTATTGATCACTGCGATAGCAGGCTACAGGCAATGCAGCACCAAAACCATATTTTGCCTTGCCAAGGCAGTTTGCTAGAAGCTGTGCATCATGAGGAGACTCCCACTCGCAACCAGAGTAGTAGCCTATGGAAGATCATAGGTATACCCGCCGAGGGCTCTTCTCGAAAATGGGGTCTGGTTTAGCGGAAGCGCATTGACTGACCTCCAAATCGTGAGCTGGAATCCGACCTTGAGGTGATTCATGATGTTCCATTGTGAAAGAGTATCCAATGTGTGCTCATGATTGGTAGTGTTGAGGTTGTGTTTGGGCGTTTGGGCGGGGACGGCGCTCAACTAGGGTTAATTAGAATTTGCCCTTGAATGCAGTGAACCAATGTCGAAGAATCACAAGCACAACTTCCCCACAAGCCTTCAGTGAACACATCATCGATCAGAGCCTCTAACTAGCTTCTCCTGAATCAGAGGATTTCCAGCGATTATGGCAGACAGGGATAAGCATTAGTTGGACCCACATTACTCCGATCCAAGACCATCATTGGCCTGACTGTCTAGCCTTGCTGCCTTAGTATCAGGTAGCAGCTTTACTAACACATAGTACGTCAGCACTAACTAGCTGGTATGAAGATTAGTGAGTTGCGACCGTCCTGCCAAATTCACTCAAATTTCGCGTTACAATGCCAAAGCCCACCTGCTTGCAATACCGTGGTCAGATCCTGTTGGGACTAGGCCACGCCACTTGGTCTCAACTTTCTGTCGTCCACCCTCGTTGTGCAAAGACCGTTAGACGACATCGCCAATAAGATTTATACCGTCATTTCCCTGCAGTGGATGTGAACATACCGCAATGAAGATGTCCCTTACAATGAAATCAGCAACTCAACCGCAGAACCTGACGTGGACAAGTTCACCGGGGCACACGCGCAAGAAGGCATTCTCGCGACGGTCCCGCAACGGGTGCCGAACCTGCCGGTACGTACAGTGCAATACATGCACTATGCCACAAACTCCCCGGCTATAAACCGTGCTCAGCGCTAAGATTCATCGACAGAGCTCGCCGGGTCAAGTGCGACGAAACACCGGGGACGTGCGACAACTGCTCGCGGACCGGACGGCAGTGCGAATATGATCTGCACCGGATTCCCGAGCGCGCGCGCCCCGGCAGCGTCGCTGCGCCGGCGGCCCAGATCTCGCTGCCTTGGAAGATGACCTCGGACGAACGGCGATGCCTGTCGTTCTTCCAGCACCGCTCGGTGCCCCATCTGGTGGCCTTCTTCGACTCCCCGCTGTGGCAACGCCTGATTCTGCAGCTCTGCTACCACGAACCCGCCGTCTTCCACGCCGTGATCGCCCTGGGGGCCGTGAACCAGGCGTATGAGATCGAGGGCGGTCGGCAGCGACGAGTGCGACAAGCTTCCCTGCCGCAGCAGCAGCAGAAAGACGAGCACCGTGGCCAGGATCCATGGCACCTGTTCGCCCTCGAACAAGCCAGCCGGGCCATCGCCAAGCTCAACGAGCGACGCCAGTCGGCGGACCCGCACTTCCAACGGGTGATCCTGGCCTGCTGCCTGCTGTTCGTCATGTGCGAGCTGCTGCACAAGAACCTCAGCCGGGCGACCTTCCACATCCAATGCGGGCTGCACATCCTGCGGGGCATGAACGTCCGCCGGCAGAGCGGCGGCCTGACTTTCATCGTGGCCGACGGGACCAACCCGTACCGGGTGGAGGAATGCGTGGTCGATGCGTTCCTGGGGCTGCAGATGTGCGCCATCTTCTACGGGACCAAGGACCCGCTGCACTTCGACACGGAGCTCGTCTACAACCAGCCCTACCACGACCTCCACCTGCACCGGGCGTTCCGCGATCTGGGGCATGCCCGCCAGATCCTGACCCCGCTGCTCGACACGATGGCCCTCTTCGTCGCCCAGGGCTGGTACCTCAGCGACGCCGAGATCGCCGCCCGCTACGCTGCCCTGCACCACCAGCAGCACCGCCTCCTGGCCTACTTCACCCGCTACCTCCACCTCCTGACCGAGTTCAGCCACCGCACCCTCCAACGCAGCACCACCACCACCACGACGATGCCCAACCCCGAGCACCAAAAACTCACCCGCGAAGCCCAGATCATGCGCCTCTCCTGCCTCTACTCCCTCCTCGCCATCAAGATCGCCCTCTTCAGCAAGGAGCGCCCGCTGCCCACCCGCCTCCTCCCGGACTTTGTCACCGTCCTCACCGCCGCCGAGGCGGCCATCGCCCAATTTACCGGAGCAGCAGCAACAGCAACAGCAGCAACAGCAACAGCAACAGCAAACCGCCCCGCCATGACCGCCCGCCCGGGGATCGTCCCCGCCCTATGCGTGGCCACGATGCGGTGTCCGGATTTCGGGCTGCGGTGTCGCGGGATCGCGGCGTTGCGGGGCTGGGACGCCCAGGAGGCGTTTATGGGGGCGGCGTTCAATGCCGATCTGATGGAGGAGGTCATGAAGGTGGAGTTGTTGATCCGGTATCGCGCGGGGGAGGAGGAGAAGGAGGGGGCGTTGGAGGGGGTGAGGTTCGAGATGGGTCCGGGGAGGAGGGATGCTGCCAGCGTCGGTTGCGGCGGTGGTGGTGGTGGTGGTGGTGGTGGGGGGGGTGAAGGGAACGGCGGCCTCCGCCCCGCCGTGGCGCGGATCGAGTACCGCGGGAGCGACGGGGTGGAGCGCGTGCAGCGGGTCCCGTTGGTGCGGAATGAGGCGCTGGCGGCGGAGCTGCGCGCGATCGACGGGTCGGCCGACTGGCCGTGCGTGCGGTATCTGCAGCTGTTGGACCATTTGTAGGGGGGTTCGTTCGACTTTCGGTCCGGGAACATGTGAGGCATGAATAAGAGGGACATTTCGGAGAATGGAGAATACTGTCAGCGACTAGTAAAGTGGTTGGTTCGTCGGGACTTGAGCCCTAATTTCATAATGTTGGAGTTTGTGATATGAAGTCGATGAAGTTCAATGGTCAAAACAACCCCGATTCAAAGCAGAATATACATTCAATTCTCTGCGTAAAGCCACTTCAGGTTCCCTCCCCACTCTCGCGAAGATACAACTCCCGAAACACCCCAACGCCTTCCCCGCCCTCTGTTTTGCGCTGAACCAGCTCCTGCGGTGCCCCCTCCTCGACAATCTCTCCGTCCCGCATCACGATTACCCGATCATATCCGTACTCGATCACGGCCCGGATCCGGTGCGTAACCATGATGACGGTCCGGCCGGCGAACGCGGTCTGGATGATTGATTGCATCTGGGCTTCGGTCTCTTGGTCGACACTGCGGGACATTGGGGGTCAGCTCGGTTGTTGATTTCCGTAATTCCCCAAAAGGTGCAAGACATTCCAAATCCAAAGAGAGAGAGTGTGTGTGCGCTACTACTAACCTGCTCGTCGGCTCATCGAGAACCACCACCCGCCCCGGACGAAGGCTGGCCCGCGCCAGGCAGAGCAGCTGCTTCTGACCGGGAGTCAGGGCATTCTCGTCGACGACGGTCTCCAGACCGAAGTCTGGGTTAATGAGGTGACCGAGACCCACGGTGGATAATGCGTGCATCACTACCGTGTCATCACCGTGTACATCGAATGGATCGAGGTTGCGACGGAGACTGCAGCCCTCTAAGATGAAGGAATCCTGAGGGACCCCGACGATGGCCGTGCGGAGGGAGGTCCGGTCGATGGTGGAGATGCTGCGGCCGTCGATGAGGATCTCCCCGTCCGTAAGGTCGGATATGCCAAACATGGTGGTGATGAGAGAGGTCTTGCCACTATATCAGAGTATGAATCAACTCGTTCTGTCCTTAGGAGCGACAAGTGGACGATCGTCACTGGGATCCTGGGCAGAGGGGGGCGGCAAACCTTGCTGTGCGGCCACAGATGGCCACCTTCTGGCCCGCAGGAATTGACAGCGATATCTTTCGCACGGTAGGGGTTGATTGAGCACTAGGATATCTCGCTGTTTAGAGCCAAGGCCTTGGTCTTTGACGGTAGCAGAAAAAGAAATAGCACGAGAGGAAGACTTACCCGTAGGCGACGGACACATTCCGAAATTCAATAGAGCCTTCCACCGGCCAGTGCTGTGGCAATTGGTCTGATACCTCATGCGGGGCATGTTCCAGCATCTCCGAGGGCGTTCGTTCCACAAACGACTTGATCCGCGCCACCGCCCCCAACGAGGTTTCGAGGGACGCCCAGTAGGTGGTCAAAAGCTTGACTGAGGTGCCAAAGGCGATGATGTTAACGAGGGCCAACCCCATCGCCGCCGGGGAGATCTTCCCCAGACTGGCAACGCCGATACCCATGACCACCACGACGAATCCCGCCAAGCTGAGATCGAGCACCAAGGCGAGCCACGTCTGCACGGCGTACAGCAGGTAGAAGGGCTTTTGCGCCTCCACTAACAGCCCGTGGTACCGCTGCCTGTACTTGTTCGACCAGTCAAACGCGCGGATCGTCTCGAGCCCCTGGATGGTCTCCAGCAGCAGCGACAGAAGGGGAGCGCGGGCTTCGAGGTCCAGGATCCGGAGCTGGCGGGAGGTGCGCGTGTAGAACCGCTGCACCACGTAGAAGACGACTAGGCAGGCGGGCAGCGCGGCAGCCGCGTAGTGGACCTGGATGGCTATGACGATCATCTGCGCGATGCACATGAGAAGAGCTTGCGGTGTTCGCCGTTAGGACCGGTGTCTCATTCTCGGGGCAGCGCGTTGCTTCTCGGCGTGACAGTGACTTACTAAGAGAGAACAGCATAAGGAATTCGGGCACCTGAAAGTCAATGAGCTCGAGGTCCTGGCTGAACCTGCGCCATGGTGAGTGAGCCAATCAGCCTGAGCTGCGCATTCACACACTTGGAAAGGAAGAAGTTGCGAACCGGTTCAGCGTTTCACCTGCGTCTACAGACGAGAGAAATGAAAATGGCGCACTGAGGTGGCTCGGTCAGCGAAGCCTCTGAGGGCAGGCCAGTCTTACGATGCGGGGCATTGCGTACTTCAGCACAGTCTGGAGAAGATCTCGATGGAGCGCCACCATGGTTCGGGGGGCCACCAGGCTCCAGAGACACCTTTTATACTATCAGCGCGTTCGTCCTTTCCCAAAACAAAGAGATATATGCATACCATGGAGTCAGGAGAAAGAAGCCAGCGACCAGGGCTCCAAGGAGCCAATAAATCCCAACTCGCATATTGAGGTTGCGGTTCGGCTCACGGTCGTTATCTTCGGCCCACCATTTGACCCAGACAGCTGCATTGCATCACCACATCAGCCAGAGGTGACGATTGACAGGCGATCTGAACTTACACATAAAGGTATGCAGTGCTACTAGCGCAGCCAGCGAGCCGTAAACCAACAGCCACGCGCCCGACGGCGCGGTGGCGAGGTAATACCGATAGATCGAAACGTCCGCCAAATCCCGGTCAGCCGACGCTTTTATCGGCGGTCTTGTCTCATTCTCATCGGCCTGCACTGGAGAGGCGACCCCCGAGAGCTCTGCCGCAGCCACTAGGGTTACAGATGATGCGTTATCATTCGAGATGGTGAGATCGGATGAGACACGCTGTGTCAAGCTTGTCACTGATCCATCCGCACCCACTGTAAGCACCTGATCGGCGAACGCAAGCCAGCGAGCTATGAATCAAGGAAGGAAGTTCAGTCAGCAAATAAACAAAGTTACCACCGCTATGCCAGACATAGAGCGAGAGCTGCCAGGATAGAAAAACAAGAACCATACGTGAACTGGTTGCCACAACGACGGTCACCCCGGGGGTTCTGAGCAAACCATGGGGTCCCAACACTCGGTGGAAGACGTGCTCCTCTGTGGCCGAGTCCAAACCACTCATTACATCGTCGAGGAGCACAAGGTCAGCCTGACAAAAAATTGCTCGCGCCAGAGCCTGTTGAGACCAATTTCATCAGGCGTGGGTTAGCATAGGGTTGGTGGAAGAAATTTGAGGCCATACCAATCGCTGTTGCTGACCCCCACTGAGACCTAATCCTTGCCCGCCAACAACCGTGAGATCTCCCTCTGGCAGACTGGCCAGGTCTTTATGCAAATCGCAAGCGTCAAGAACGGTCGCGTACCAGTCCAGTAAGGAACGTGCGCCGCTCCCTGGGCCGCGGATATTCTCTTGAATGGTGCCGGACACGATCCACGGTGACTGGGCACAGTAGGCGACGCTGCGAGCTGCCACGGTTAGCTTGCCAGTGACCTTGGGGACTTCGCCGAGAATTGCGCGGAGGAGCGTGGACTTCCCGCCTCCAACGGGCCCATTCACCATCACAAGTGTTCCACGGTTGAGCACAAAGGAAAGGTCTTGTAGAATTGGGGTGTCATCTTCCCAAGCTAGCGAGAGAGCCTGTGCAACGACATGACCGGAACAACTGGCTTTGGACAGGACCTCATCCCGCAGTAACATGAGACCGTAGGCCTCCGGCAACCACCGACCTTCCGCACGGGAGGGCTGCAGCACAAACTCTCGGATGCTATCAATGCACCCTAACGCAGTGGACAGCTCTGTCAGCGACTGTAGAAGCCCGACGAACGAGGAGGCCAAAATAGTCAGGAACGCGAGCGCAGTGAAGGCTCGTGGGCTGTCGAGAGTCTCGGTCCATTCTTTCTGGCGGGCAAGCAAATTGTACATCGAGAGGGCCACAACTGGCGTGACAAAGGTATTCGCGTGGACTAGATGATTTTAGCTGGGGTGGTATTCGTTGGAAGAGTGCTATACAGACCTAGCAATGTAATCACGGTGAGAAGCATCCGATACCCGCGAGAGCATCGCACTTCGTTGTCTCGAAGAGACCTCATCTGGTCGTACAATATCCGCGCCATTCCCGACATCTTGATAGATTTCATGGCTTTGAGCATCGCAGCCGTGGCGCCGACCCGAGTCTTAATAGCCTTCAACCACAAAGCCTGCCTTTGGACTAGATAGCCTACTGCACCGGCAACGGCAACCACGCAGACTTTCTCGGGTTGTTAATCAAAGGCCCCGGGGATTAAGATACAATTTTCGCAAGCATAGATACGCACCGAGAGAAATAAATACGGGGGGCAAGTCTGCTATACGCAGCGGATCAGACAGTAGCCAAATGATGAGGATGACTTCGGCCAGGCAACCCCACGTATCCTGGATCGTCTGCATGCCGATCGTGATCCTTTCAGTGTGTGTGGTAATCATCGTCGTTACTATTGCGACATCATGCGGCTGCAGTTGCGAATCGAAGATCTTATCGTATACGATGGCCATGAGGATACCTCGCAGCTTGCTTGCGAGGCGGTTCGAGTGGTGTCGTGCTCGTGTAGTGGCCACCTGTTGCGCGAGATCGTATTAAAGTCTACAGTGAGCCATAAAAAGAAAGCAGAGTAGACGGGTCCCACGTACCCCAATACCGACGAAGGCCAGTGCGAACGCCACCGTGAGCAACAGGCCTTTCTTATAGTTGGTCGATGAGTCAGGCATGGCAAAGAGGATGATGGCCCGCTTGATCAAGTAGGGCTGCGACAGCAGGAAGCCTCCCTGGGCCAGCCGAGGAATGGCACCTCGGAGAAGTTCCCCTTTCAACACCTGGAACAAAGGTAACAATACGTGATACCATTTGCCGTGCTCTCTACCTGGTAACAGCCATGTCAGAGGCCATTGTCCTTTCAACTGGTCTGGAGATCCTTACACCGTGCCCATCCCATGACTAGCCGGACCTGATCTGTTTGGTCGGCGCAAATAGAGCTGTCGATCCTCAACAAATCGCGCATCAACAGCGTTCCCTTACACCCTAGCAGAAGCAGCGGATTGAGCCACCAGAATAGACTCCGACTGATGGCGCCCGCACCCATTTCCAAAGACTCCGAGCGGCAGTGTGGTAGAACTGTGTGCATCTTTTCCATGGACTCCAGAATGACTAGCGCGAGGATCACCACCAAAGACGCGATGTGGATTGACGCCAGGGTATGGAGGCCCGAGACGGATAGCAGAGTTCGTGACCGGGGAATTCCCAGCACCCAAACGACCGAGTAATGAAGAACCAGGCATGTGGAGGGACGGATGCAGCAAATGTGCTCCAAGTGAGAGAGGTAAATGGCTGTGATGGCAGCGAGAAGAGATGCGACCGAGGATGGAAGAGATAGGCTGGTCTTCGGAGTCGATGGAAGAGTCCATATGACTAGTGAGACAAGTTGGAGGAGAATATAGATGGCGTGGAAGATCTAGATGCGAGATGTAATTCAGCTAGTATTCGTTGCACGAGGAGGTCTGAATCTTCCGCTTACCAACTTGACCCAATAGTTCAAAGATGTGCGGATCTTTTGGGAACGGCCTCGAAGATAGCTTACACGACACAGCCCGACGAGGATGCTCAGCACAGTAGGCACCAGCAACAGTATCGCATCCTCAAATAGCAAGGTAAAGTCGACATCATCTCCGCATCCATTCACCACGGGTCCGAAATGATTCTCCACATTGATCGAGCATGTCTTTGAGGCCATGTCCCGCGCTGCCAGAGACATGCTGTCGCGCAGAAGCGGCTCATTTGGGTGCCATGCGAAGTCTCAGGTCACGGCCTTTCTTTTACCAACGGACTCTTTATTGTCCCATCCACTCTTAGGAATTCGAGCTCCGCTCGCCGTTCTCTCTGGCATTCCAGGAGACTTGCCCCTGATCCGCGCCGAACATTGTGGAATGACAGGAATGCTTGGCTAAGACCTACTTGTTCCTTGCAGCCCCATTTCTCTTGTCAATGTTCTGACGCTCTCTGACAATCGAGTTCCCAATAGTGTCGATTCAAGCTTGACAGACAGCGCAATTTGACGTGTCTTGGTAGTAAGGGCGAGGTTAATCCCAGGGTCCAGCCATCCGATGCCTCAGGTAGCGGCAAGTGCCGCAAATCTGACCTGTGCACTGGAGGCTTTCTGCTTTGGCTTGCACGTTTCCCTATTGGGCTTCTGTAGTCTTTTCAGCCAGTCAATAATCTTCAATTGATTTACTTCATCAAAACTAAGGGCTGCCCTGTGGCCGCAGATTATGAACGCGAGAAAGAAATCATATCACAGCCCATCACCGGCGCATATGTGACGCCTCACCCCCACCACACTGCACTAGGTAATGTTCGACCCGGGATGTTTTTGGTGGTATATATATCCTACCCATTGTTGATCTACCCACTTCTTCTCCACACTGTCTCGCTCATCACCTACCGCCTGCTATCTAGACATCCATGAGCTTATCTCAGGGTCTTGCCGGGTATGGCCTCGGCATCTTTGTAACCCAGCGAGGCACCATTATCCGCCGGGAGGTCACTTTTCTGAGTCCATTTAGAAAAGGTGAACTGGAAACTAAAACTTTCTTTGTGACAGAGTCAATTCTATTAATCTATATTTGAAAGCAAGGCTGGCATTTCAACAAGTCAGCCCGGCTAGCTCAATCGGCAGAGCGTGAGACTCTTAATCTCAAGGTTGCGGGTTCAACCCCCGCGTTGGGCTTTACTTTTTCTTTTGCATTTTTCTTCTTTCGTTTTGCCTCCGTGTTTGTGATCAATTCCAGGCCCAATCAACAAATATGATCAATTGCCCACTGTTACCAGGTTCGAGATTCACCCGGAATCAATATCCTGCGGGCGAGCACAGCCTGTGCTCAAGAACGCGTTCACTAAAAAGCGGCACCAGCCAAAGAAAGGACCTTAAGTTGTTAACTGCTATAGTATATCGCCTAGCTTGCAAGTCAGCAGCCAACAGTTACAATTCACAAAGGCGATATGATATAATCAACCACTGATCCGCGACCATGAAACATCTCACAGAGTACAGTCATCCCAGCAACCTCCACCCACTGTGCACTCGGAAGCAGAAAGAGCATGGATTGATAGATTATATATTACTAGATTTTAGTCGCTTACAACTTCCTAGGTTACTATGGCACTCGAGCACAGTGCATCGCCATCACGCCATTACGTCATCACGGGCAATGGTTTCCAAGCGCGGCTCTGCTAATATACCCATCCCCAAGGTGTACAACTATCACAGATGAAGTGAGGTCTGTTCGACCGAAGCAGTGGACGCCGATTGGCTCAGGTATAAACAATCGGAACTAACGGAGCCCGCCCACGCTAGAAAGCCAACATTTGTAGTGCAAGAAGCTTGTACTTGTTAGTCTCAACCGTGGGTTGTGAATTTACATATTACGTACCGTATATAACCAAGGAATCGATAGGATACCCTGCTTTGCAGTAACAGCGCCTTCACAACTACAGCGAAGGTCTATATATGAAGTGAACGGGTCTCCAAGCACCGGCAAGAATCGGTCGCATGGAAAATTGGGCACGGCACTTCTGAACCTAGCTCCCCTGCAGAAGGACACTAACTGTGATGTATACCCTCGCCGGGAGAATGTGTGAAAAGCCAGGATAGAGGGTGTGCTGATTATCTTGAGTGCTAAGGCTTGTGCTGTTGGGGAGGAGTCAGCTCCTATCATTGCATATATTGTTCGTTGTATAAATTAGGGCTGGAACTCGCTGTAGAGGGGAGCAGCCGCGGGCGGCCTTCGGCCGGTACGATAGCGGTACATTTCGCTATTCTGACAGTATTCGGAACTTCGGCCAGACAGACGCGATTCAACCCTAAGATCCTCATGAACGGCTAAGTAGTGAGTGGTCTGATAATGAATCGCCTCCTCGACTTCCGAGTCGGCTTCTACATTTACTCCTTCCAGTTAGTCGCCGGTCACCCCTGCTCTTGAGAGGCGCAAATACTTGCCATTGGTCGGATTGCAATTCTCATCCCTGCATCTGTCCACTTTCAGCGTTCCAAGCCCATGGTTATCTCGGTTAACCCTTATATACAGTACATGGTGCTTTGCCATCTTTACCATCTTTGCCACGAACGTGCTGAATTTACTCTTCCTCCTAAGACAACTATGACATGAGAGACGGGCGTTCGACTCTTATTCCTTACTTAAGTCTCGCTCGATTGCATTGCCTGGCAGTATGAGTGACGTGCTGGGCAACAAGCAGCTCAGAAATCATGCTTACCACTTGTACTATGTCAAGGAAAGGCTGGTAAGTTGCTGCCCCTCCTATGTCGATCTGATGGTCTCTAAATGACACTTGCAAACACAATACTAGCAGACTCCCACCCATAGCCCAATATCGTCCTTCTGCTCTACCAGCCACACCGACGAGTGTTTCCATCCGGAACTCTCTATCTCCTCTTCTCTGCATCTTCACCAACCCCATGCACGTCTCTCCACGCTCTTGTCTCCATGGACATCACTACCCGATCATGCTGCCGACAAGATTGATCGCGACAGGAAAGAGCCAGAGACCTGTACTCTTAGCCCCTGCGACCTGACGCTCTTAGCTCGGTGGTGTGCCACAACCTACCAGTCTCTCGCTTCCGATGGCAGAGATGCGGAGATCTGGAGAAGCCTGATTGTTCGGGAGGCAATGCGCTACCCGCCACTACTGGACGGTATTCTAGCTCTTTCAGCCCTAGAAATGCTCGGAGATTGCGGGAGGGACAATGCACAAGAGCACAAACAAGATCAACAACAACTTCGACATCTTGCCATGCTGCATTGGGACCGAGCACGAACTTGGCTAGATAATCAGCTCGGCCCAACAAGGCTGGAACCAACGCGCAAACATAGCAATGCGGTGCTTGCCCTGTGCAACATCCTGATGGTCTTCGCATTCGCCCACATGCAAATCCCCTCCTCCTCGAGAGAATCCGCGCTGGAAGATTTCTGTGACATATTTCGTCAATTGCGTGGGTCGCCGGAGATTGTAGTCCCATTGATTGATCAAGTCCAGCCAGGCGAGCTGGCTTCCCTCGTCCGCCCCGAGGAGGCCCGTCATCGTGTCATGCCAGACACTTTCACCTTGGCGATCCATGCCCTGCGAAAGGTTAATAACACCCACCCTGATGGGAATCTGGACCCTGACGCCAACAATAAAAGGATTAACAGCCAGGCAATCGATAGCCTGAGCTCGTGCTTGCGGTATATTGCCTGGAGCAGCCGCCCAGGGCTGATCGAGCTCTCCTGGTTGCTGGTGATCCCAGCAGGGTTTGTGGATCTGGCTCTGAATCACCAGCCGATCGCCCTGAGCATTCTAGCGCACTACTGCGTGGTAATGTACCACCTCCGGTCACAGTGGTGGATGGGCGATCTCGGGACCAGGCTGCTGAAAGAGATCCGTCAGCTTCTGGGCCGTGATCGCTCGGGTGATATTCAATGGGCGCTCGATGCGGTCGCAATCGATGGTGATGGAGGTGCCCGCTAATGGCACCGCGGGGGGGGGGGGGGTTCTTGTAAACTCGAGAATATCGTCTGTCTGCCACTATTTCTAAATCCCTTCTCTTGTTGAGCATCTCTACTTCTGCGTGTCTTTGGGCCCACTTCCCTGCGCGAGGACCACTTTCTGACTCGCTTACTCTGCATCTGCCGGGGCAATGCGCGGAACAATTCTGTGCCCTCGAATGGCCTGAGCGTATCGAGGCTACATTGTCCTAATGAGGGTTAGAGAGGCAGACTAAAGGCTAAGCTTTCGGCCATGGATGGGTTGGTAGATACCACTTTCTAGGCAACAGTCATCTCGAGCGTGAATGGGGACCCACTTACTTCGCTTCGCGCTCGGCCGACACTACCGGAACCAGTCTGGTCCTTGGTATGTTAGGGCCTACAACACATAATAAACGCCTAACGTATGGATCGTACTACTTAGCGGACGGAAACTGTGTCTGTATTACCTGGGCACTACTGATTCCGGGTTAGCCCCGCAGTCCTGCCATCGCTCCACATCCACCGGGGGCTTGCCTCGATTCAGGCAGTGCAGCCATCCCAGATCAAGGCTTGATATTGGAGCACCGAGTGATCGCCCTATAATCCTCTAACTCCGTGGTTCTGCTCCTTCTCCAAGGCCGACCAGCCCGGAGGGCGCCAAAAAAAGTAAAATCGTGTGATCATTCAAGCGGTTCAGAAAATGTTGAATCGCTATAAGCTTTTTGACTTATCATATAACTAGTTACCTTAGAAAAATCGAAACCCTAAATGCTGTCATATAGAAATAACAATCAAAGGTATTTCCTCATATGGAATCCCAAGATCAGAATCCAGCCCTAAGAGCCCTAACATATCTGATACAAAAAGGGTCTTTGAGAATTATCTCAACACTCACGTGTTGGAAGGAGCTCCGAGAGGGTTCAGAAAAGCTTCCAGGGGGGGGGGGGGTTTACGGAGTATGTACATACTGTGATGGGCTTACTGTGATCCGGGAAATAATAGTAAGTCTTAGCTTTCCTGACCCCCAAGACCTGGTACCCTGACACTGCCTACTCTGTCTAAAATCACAAGTATAGCGATAAGGACGTGGTTAGATAGTGGAAATGGCACTTCAATTTCATGATCCCGAGTTCAATCTCAAATCTGACGCCATACACCCAGTGAAGCGGCACCATCCCCAACCACCATCGCCTCCAGAAACCCCCCCCCCCCTCAACGAAGCCCATGATCCACCGCTTCGATGTTATTCCCCGCGGGATCCAGCACGAAAGCCCCATAGTACGTGGCATGGTAATCCGGCCGCAATCCGGGGGCCCCGTTGTCCGTGCCCCCGGCCTGCACCCCGGCGGCGTGGAACGCGTCCACGGTTGCGTGGTCTATTCACCCACAACCACCAGTTAGTAGCAAACACACATGACGGTGCTGTTTTATTGGTGATATAGATGAAGAAACGGGGGCCCGGGGGGGGGGGGAGAAGGAAATGGGGATACCGTGACAAGTAAACGCAATATGCGCCGCACGCGCGGGAATCTCCTTGGATCCAAACACCCAGAAGTCGGCTTTGCGGTAGCGGCCGATGTCATCGTGGACTGAGCCCAGTCCCACTATGAACTCGCCGAATTGGTAGCGCACCTCGTAGCCTAGCGGCTTGAGGGCGGCCAGGTAGAAGGCTAGGCAGGCTTGGAATTGGGCTTCGGGGACGTAGAGGCTTGTGTGGTCGATTGCCATGATTATGATTATTGAACTGGAGATAGGGCTGAGTGTTGAGTGCAATGATCAATGGTGGGGGAAGAAATTGAAAGTGATGAGGTGAGCGGATGTTGGACGGGAGACGCAGTGTAATTAAGGTTGTCGTCCCCGCGCGATCTTCGTTTGCATCAGTGGCGGGGCAATACGAGATGAGACACTGCTTGGCTCCCGGTCCGGGGATGCACGTCTCTTGCACATTCACTCTGCATTCGGCGTGTGACAAAGTACTGGGCCAGCATAGGCGGCAGCAACAGGCAACAATTATTGTGTACGGGTGCCTAGCAGTCGGTGCTGCCTGAGACACGGTTCTTGGCGAGAAGTGTTGCTGACAGTTTCAGCAGAATGGCAGCATAGTGCACTGCTACCAATCGCCTTGGCTTTGACTTTCAAGAGGTCCTCAGTGACACAAATGCAAGTATTAAGATGCGATACATGGTTACTGTCTGTAGGTCGAGAGGTAGACATGTTCTAAGCCAAGGCAACTGTAGGAATCTTGATCCAGCGTGATCGCGTTCAAGTCATTAGGGCTAGCTATATACTACAACCCCAACATTCAAATCACGAAGTGCGGTGTATAAACATAAACCAACGATTAAGTACCATTAGACAAGTATTTGCTACCTGAACTTGCGAGTCATCTCATCCCACCATAACCAGTATCCCCAGCAGAATCATAATCTCATTAAAATCAACCACATCCACAGCAATCCAAGCTGCAGTGCCTCACCTCATAACTACAGATGCACCTGCCAATGCCCCGTCTCCGCGCCACTCGAATACCCATCGAGCACCTTGTTCACCGCATCCACATCCAACCCCCGAAGCACCTGAAACCCAGTCGGCTTGATCTTCCCCTGCGCCACCCAGCCGGGCACGCGATTCCACAAGGGCCCCGCAGTCGCCGGTCTCGCGGTCGACACGCCCATCACATTAACCGTCTCAAAGCCCGCCCCCTTCGGGGCCGACAGCTTCGACTCATCCACCCCCCCCCGCGGAATCAGCCTCGCCAGCTTCCCCGTCTGAGAATTCGACAGCGCCTCCACGCCGATCCACTGACTCTCAGGCGGATTGATCGTATCCAGGGCATAGAGCAGCTCATCGCCGACAATCGCCCGCACCTCTGCCGCAATCTCCAGCCCGGACTTGCCCGTGCGATCGATCACATGCGTAGCCCCCAGATCCTTCGCCTCCTCGGCACTCTTCGTCCCCGCGACCACCACAATCCGCCCGATCCGCGCCAGCGCCGCCAGCTGGATCGCAAATCTCCCCGTATTCGACCCGCCGCCCAGAATCAACACCGACGTTCCCGCATAATCAAAGCTCCACGCCGCCGCCGCAGAGTCCTCGCCCCACCACGGCGACGGGATCCCCAGCCCCGAGGCGTCGAACAGCGCGACCGCGGCGGTGACCAGATTAGTGGGGAGGGTGGCGAGCTGCGCGTCCGTGAAGCCCGACGGGACTTGGGCCGCGTACCGCTCGTCCAGCACGGCGTACTCCTGGAGTCCCTGGGTGTCGTTGTTGGTCTCGGAGAGGCGGAGGGTGGAGGGGTGGCCGTGCGGGAGGATCAGCGCGGCTTGGCCGACGACGTGGTCGCCCGGTTGGAAGCGGGTGACTTCGGGGCCGAGCTGCGTCACGACCCCGACGACGTCCGCGGCCAGCACGGCGGGCAGCGCGTCTTGGATGAAGAGCCCGTAGTCCCGGGATTTCGCGTCGTGGGGGTTGAGCCCCGCCACGGTGACTTTGATCTGGACTTGGTGGGCGCCCGGGGTGGGGATGGAGCGCGTGGCTTTGGTGAGGGGCTGGCCGATGGCGGTGGCTAGGAGGGCGGTTTGGGTTTGGGGTTGCGACATGGTGGATGGGGGGGTTGTAGTTGGGTGCTGGTGTTGTGGGGAGGTTGAGGGTTGTGAGTGATGGTGTGGGATGGGGGAGGCTTGGCTGGATTGGTGTTTGGTTGAACTGTGATCCTCGATTGAAGTGTCGTGCGATGAGTGGATCTTATATGCCATGTAACTCATAGAGTACTAGGTAGTCAATCTATACAAAGTAGTCCTCTACAGTGCTCGGACGCTCGGACTTAACGCCAGCGGACTTAACCCCACCGCGGGCCGGCCCTGGATTAGTTGTGATTATCAAGCGCGGATTGATTGATAATCGCCACCCCCGAGGGTTAAGCTTCTCGGTAAGCAGGAACATCGCGCAATCCGGGGATAATGAATACCACCATTTCAAGGGAGCTGTCATAATGTCTTAGGACCAGTCGGAAGACTAATCAGCAAAACATTCACCGTGTGTCTGTTGAGTGAGCACTTGAAACGATTGTTTCAGGCCGTCTGTATGGCCATTGGCCGACAATGAACGGTGCTTGTACGGAGTACTGTACCGAAAACTACATGGCTTAGGGTACGTAGCGCCCGCATCATTGTCTAGTACGTACGGGAAAAAGACGCAATATCAACTAAATATCACCGGCAAAATCATTAACCAACATAGTTCTATCGTCTTCCGCTACCTTACCTGATTCGGCAAACAAGCCATTGATTGACTTCTGCCTGCCTCCTTCCATTGCTTTTCAGCAATCCCGCCATAGTAAGCCGTCTCCACGTGATGGGGCGCTGGTCCAACCAAAGCGAATGCCCGCCGAGACCCGTCTAAAGGTAGTCGAGGTGGATACTAGAAAGCTGGGATAGAATATCCTGGGGGAGCTGCAATATCACAAGTATGCTAGTGGCTGTTTCCTGTCTTCGCTGTAGCTTGGCTTGCTTTTCTTGGTAGGACGCCGGAGCGGTACGGGCCCCTCTCTCAGCCTACCCTAGTAGTTTCTCGGAATCCAAAACAACCATGCTTGATTCCGAGCATAACGCATCACAACTCTCATTTTGCAATTGCAGTGACAGAGGTAATACTACGATAAAGACCAGACTCCAGTGGTCTAGCTCTGAAGAGGGACAGTTCTAGAAACCGTTTGTTGGCATTCCAGATGTCAAGGTTCAATACAGGGAAGCGTTTCTCTTTACCTCGACGAACATGAGTCGGCTATCACCTAAATTCAAATAACAGATACCAATACCTGAAGTACCGCTTGTGGGCTGTCGTTGGTGCCTCATGTACATAACAACAATAATGTAAATCTTTATCTCTCAATCTTTGCGTTTAACTGGTATGAAAGGACAATGCAGAGTTGGACCTGAATAAGAGATACTATTAATCAGAAGAAGGGTCCCCAAGCAGCCACAAGCTTCCGTGCACTATTCTCCTGTTCTATTGCAAGCGAGACTTGAGCAATCCGGGCGACAAAATGTTGCTACAGACATACGCATAGCCAAACTCAGATCTGTCGGGTATACTGGCAGCTTCTAGATATTGCTGCGGCCAGGAGTGACCGTATCAGATCTGGGATTTTGACAACATTCCTTACCACCATTCATTGAATATTGAAATCCACCCGCTGGCCATGCTGCTTCTGCAATTATGATCCACCTGCCATCCTTGGTCAAGCACCGCCAACCTCCAAAGGAAAGCTTTGGACCAGCAGCGGCATCTCGTCCCAGCGCTTACTCCGGTTGCGATCGGAATCGAGCGGCCACAGCTCTTTCAGAATCAAATGCAGTTGTTTCGGCATATGGGTAGAACTCGGATCAACCTCCTCTTCCATTTCGCGCCACAGCTGCCACGCGGCCCGTCCGATCTCCTGGATCCGGACTTCGGAGTCCGAATGGGGGTAGAGATCTGAGCGAGACACAATTAACGAACGGCTCAGCTGTCGGATGACGTTCGGTTAGCATCTCGTCGTATCCCTCATCCTCGGTCTCATCCTCCGCCACCTCCGTCGCATACAACGCAGCGTCCGTCGTCGCCCCTTTCACCCCAAGCTCAACCAATCTTGCTATCAATTCCTGATTCTGCTGATGTACCTGCTGCGGAGACCGATGATGCCGAAATTCCGCCTCCTGCAGTCTCGCGTCGCACCATTGATGCCACTCCCGCTCCTTCTGGTTATGTCTATTACTAGGAGCACAGTTAAGATCGAGGGCATAGCGGGGCCAGCATGCGGATATGGTCGCCTACGGTGACGGGGTACTTCCCATCCGCAGTGTCTGGATACTCATGCTGTGTCTCCCCGGCTTCGACGCCCAAACCTTTGAGCGTGGGGCCGTGGTGAGCGATGATCCGAGCCAACGAGGCGAAGCTGCGCAATCCGCGCAGACAAAGGTATTGGAGCGGTCGAAATCCATGCACGGCGAGGATCATACCTTCGACGTCGCCGACATTGGGAAGGCCAACGTCAGCTCTTGTCGAGTCCATATCCATGTCAATTCGCTCGTAAGTTGTCCCTGGGACCATTTTGACGTAGAGACGGGTTAGCCCGGTTCAGGCGTGGGGCAACGCGAGCTAGCAGATCCGGCTCGGTGTATACCCCGATCTCCAAGGATCGGAGTTGGGAGAGGTCGACCATCGTTGTGAGGCTGAGAAGCATATGCTCCGTCGCGGTTTCTGCCCTACGGTCGTCGAAGGTCAGTGACTCTAGGGAGGCGGCGGCCGCAGGGGAAGGCTTGATGTCGGAAGTCGCAAGAAGCGCTTGCCACTCTTGTTCAATCTGCGCGAGCGGGCGATGATAATTCCGGGTTCTGGTGTCATTATTAAGTGCCTCAGATTGGGGGTTTTGAAGACGAGTGGGATGTGCCCTTTGAATTGAAGCTTTGGCTCCGAACTCGTCGTATAAACCGTGTTTAGAATGTGGGGTGGCGACGTTTGCAAGATGTCAACAAAATCCCGTGCTACCTCGGAAAAAGAAGATCTTCTGGTTAGGTCACTGAGGGATAGAAATGGACGGGTCCAGATGTTAATACGGCACGCCGGGTGGAATCGGCGAAGGGTCGGGGCGAGGAAGGGAGGAAAGGGATCCCGCGCAAAGAATTGAAACTCATGCAGGTGCTGCAACCGCGCAACCACGGCGACGAGCGGCTCCCAATTCTCCTCGTGATAGTGGTCGAGCCACGAATCAAAGGCACGAGCGTCGCTTGTGGTCAGATCAGCCTGCAGGAAGCTGTCTTGAGCTGGCCGAGCTTTGAATAAAGACAGCTGGGCTGACCAGGTATTTCGCCATTGATACTGAAGCTGCTTGTTCGTCAGCGACGGTCTTGCCTGCAGACAGACAAGATCAAGATGACGCGTATAGCGTAAATAGTGTCTGCCCAGGCCGTCTTCTAAAGCCCGGCAATGTCCTCCTACAAGCTGGAGCAGTCGTGAAACTTGAGGTTGAGATCGTGGTACAGCTCAGGAACGGCGATGGTGTACCAGGTGCCACTTGTTCGACTGAGAGAAGCTAGGTCATGCCAGGAATGGTTTAGGACCTGCGAGTATTGCTTAGTGTGTAAGCTCTGCGTGTTGTGAAGAGTTCATGTCTCACCAGAATGGCAATTCCTCTTCGAAGCTCGTATGGAAGGGCATCTATGGTCCGCATGGTGAGCGAGGGAGGTTGGGGGTTGGGGAGAGGATCAGAGGATGAAGGATGGGAGAAGCGGAAAGCTGCCCAGGGAACTTGGAACGCGGGAGGGGCGGCGGAGGGGCGGCCCGCTCCCACTGGGCCACAGATCAACATCATGTGATCGACGTCACATGACATTCCATCAAGCATCAAGTTCCTCTACTGCAAATGCGAATCCAGAGATGGCCAAGAGTACGATACGATGTGGGCAGACAAGAATAAGTTCGATACTATATCTCCCGTACCATATTCCAAAAGCTAAACCAGGACGACCCCCTCCGCCAACTCTATCAACCTCAGCAAAACCTCGAATTATACAACTGATCATCCCTCCATGCCCCGAAGGTATGCTTCAGTCTCTGCACGCAGTCCCAATCCTCGTGAGTCCGCACAGGGTTGAAAAACTTATACACGTGCGCCAGAGCCATCGTTCCCCGGCAGTCCAATCGCGTACGTACCGCGTGCACCTCGCTGGGCCGGGTCCCCGCGTACTGGATTAGTCGCAGGTACCGTTCCAGAAAGCTGGGTGGTAACGGGCCTTGTCGATCCCACTCGACGGATTCGTCTCCGAACTTCTTGACATCGAGCCACAGCTCCCGCTGGAAGAGGCTGAGCTGATCGAACCACGACATGCCTTCGCAGTGGCAGTGGACCTCAATCAGTCGCTGGTCCTCGGATATGACGACGAAGAGGTCGGGGCGGAAGGGATTGGGGTCGTTTTGGTCGGAGGTTCCGGGGCGGATGACGCTGAGGAACTTTCCGGTTAGTGTTGTGGTAGGGCTAAATGGTTGATGTACTAATTTTCAAGGTTTCCCCGCGAAAGAAAGCTACCAAGAGCCTGTGGAACGTTCAATGTATCAATAAGGGTAGTTCCCCTTACCTGGGAAGTGCAGATACCGCAGCTAGCAACTCGCTCCGACTACAGTCCATCCAGAGCCAGACGGCTTTGGACCATTTGTCGTTAACCTCGAACCGATACTCAATCCCGTGGGTGGCTAGGGCAGCGATGATATAGTTCCGGGCGCTCGCGATCTCCTGCATCTTGTACGGCTGCGCCATCTCGCGCAGTCGGGGCAGATCGTCAGGCCAGTATAGCTCGGGATGCGCATGCCTGAAATTGGGTGAGCCTTCACTCATGATGCGGTTGCTGATACCGCGACTTCGTTGTGAATGGCAAAGAAGTTCCAAACCAGTGTATGGAGCTGAAGAATCCGTGAAAAATGAGATAGCAAGTCCCTATTTCTGGGATGTGATGGCAATAGTAGCATTGACTGGTACGCTGTCACATCACTCGCGGCCTCAATACAGTTCTGCTGGTAGGTATATAATGGACAGCCTGCTAGGTGTACCCAATATCTTTCCCCCGCCACATGCAAACGACAAGCCCGCTGCCCAGCCAGCCCTCAGCCCCTATATCAAACAACACGAGCGTTTGCACGTCAAGAGCCAATGAATCTTGCACGTCGAGAGCCAATGAATCTGTGAACCAAGTGTCCGTCAGCTTGATACTGTTACGTCATCGACCTACGATTCTCTGAGCACATGCCATGGGAGGAAAGAACACCCAGTAGACTTTGAAGGTGATGAAGCTCTTAGCCATATTGCCTGATATCCAGAAATGCATTCCTGTACTTGCCGTACTCGTGTATACTGCCCCTGGGATTCAAAACCCGTTGACTCCTTGCTAAGGGCAAATTACGGCCCACGAATGGCTCTTTCTCAGAAGAAAAGACTTCGTCAAGCCTTCAACCTCGTTTACCACTCTCTTTTTTGGTTCTTATTAAAGTATTGGAACAAGAGCTTCGAAATTGATGGCATGGATACAATACCTTACAGAAGTTGACATGGCCTCCGAACCGGTGAGGCGTGATAGGACCTACAAACGCCCTCTGTCCCACTCCCGGAGACCAAGTATAGGCCCATTTCATTTGCGCTAAGTATCACAGCAATCGCGCAAAGCTTTTATGTGATAGGTAGGAGATGGTGCCTCCTATTTCCTAATATCCCGACTGGCTCGTATTCTTTCAAAGCGATCATTATCCCACAATCTAGACACTGAGCAACGGCCCATTTGCCTGTCCATGAATGATGAGAGTACTCAACAATTCCTATGTCACCCCCTTTATATTTGATTACAATTACATTAAAACATAGACAAAGCCCCAGAATGTCACTAATGATTCTGCTTCTCATTGAAACCGAGATATATATCTTGGTGTCCAGTGGAATTACAACTTAGGCTTCGACAAGCTAAATTTATGTTCTAGATAGCTGTTTTGAATAATACTGGTTATTGAAACCGGCAGTAATTCCAATAAAACCGGCACAGAACCTCTTTGAGTAAACAGTAAAGCTTCCCAGGCTTTCTAATCCTTTTCCGTTATATACTATTAGGTATAGAATACATCTTAAAAGAATACAAGAGAAATGTAGACCCTAAAAGCCCTAATAACAAGAATAAAAACAAGGACTTCCTAATAATGACCCCTGGAAATTATACCATCGGCTCAAAAGAATCTGAAAGAGTCCCTAAAGTAAGAAGTATTTTGGTAGAGATATAAGCAATTCCGGTACTATTACCATTGGTACATAAAAGCCTGCCGGTGCTGATAACTATTATTTTTTTTTTGAGTAGATATGCTAACCAGTTTTCAGGTTTTGCACTCAGCTCCTCGATGAACGCATATGTGTTAATGGCAAAGAGACGCTTGTTTAAATGCAGATGCCCACATTATGGCCGATTTACAGGACTGATTGGAAAGGATACTGGTAATTGTTGTAACTGTTACACTCGTGTTTCCTGGAAGTATTCGGTATGGTGAGAAATAAATTTCAACATGGACCCACCAGACCAATGTTAGTGAGTGGATCTTTTGTGTCAAGTGCAAGCTTATTAGACAAGTGGGGCCAACAGAAATCTATTGTAGTTCTGTTGTCTTGTTACATACCGACTATTCTGAGAAACAAAGAAGTGACCACCAAGCTTTTGTACGCAGGCCAATTTAATGTATTCATGGCCGAGTTGAGACTATTCCTTATTCCCTTATTCCTCCTATTCTTTTCTCCCCGCAGATACCCCCTTTTAAACATCGACTCCCCCGGCGACTCAACCTGCCCTGGTGTAGTTCTTGTGCTCGAAGTGAGTAGCCTGTATAATCAATTACACACCGACCTCCCTCAATCAGTCTGAGAAGAACATTGCATGCATGTAGGCTCTACTTGGACTGGATCTTTGGCGTCTGCTATCTGCGCTCCGAAGTGCTCGATATGCTCTTTGACCTTCCGTATATTCTGAGGCAGGCACTGCCCTTCCTCCTTGCCCTTGCCGCCTCAATACCCACTTCCCGGGACACCAGTTCGAGCGGGTGTGTCTGCCACCTCGCGCTGGCGCGTGACCCGGATTTCAGCATCGGACGTCTCTGTGGGCCACTGAACGGTTTCTCTGAACGTTGCCCATCTTATCAGTGAATTATTCGCGGTTCTCAATGCCGGGCTTCGGATAACGTTGAACGCCAGTTGGTTTTGTTTTCTTAACTGCCAGGCTTTTATAGTATTAAAGACTTCGGCGGGCATGGGGCGTTGTTTGCTCCAGTTTATAGAGTTATTGACATGCTAGCTTTTAATGTGACAGATTGTGGATGTGCGAGAAAAAAGAAAGGGCAGTCGATCCCCGGCTAGGTGTCATAATTGTCTTAGTCAGTGCGTGTGATACACAGAATCGTAGATTCGCTCGACAAGCAGCATTAGAATGTAAAAAATGTCCTTTGCGTCCCATGCTGAGGAGTCGGGAGAATTAAGCATCGCTGCAGGAAATAGAATTTGGCTCATCAGAACAACTTAACATGAAAAGACAACAACATGCTGACTCTTCTTCTAGGCCACACAGTCGAACTTAATCGAGCCGGGGTCGTTTCGACGGTCGATGTTCTGCGGCGGAACTGGGACAAACCTGAGGTAAAGATCCAGACACACGGCGTGCATGATTGATCTGAAGCCATTCTTGAGTTTCTGGTTGGAAGCTGGAATCTGAATGGCCAAGCCATTGCAGCATCCTTCATGGAAATCATGGGTTTGGAGCACCGCATCCTTTCATTGATCCGGTTGCGAAGAGATGTACCGATGGGTGCGAGACGCTCAAGCATATTACCACTGCATTCAGCCATTGTGCCCAACCAAGGCACTAAGAGCGTTGTCTGTGATTCGCACCTCTTATATCGCTGGGACTGAGAAGCCTCTGATTCGGCGATTGCCCACGAATGTGGCGTCTCCAGGGATGGAGCACAGAAGTGTCTGCAACATGGGGAGCACCTCGCCGCTTCTTCGCCTGACCCTCATCACTAAGGTAGATCAGCTTAGCGCGACCAAATTGTCCGTTCTGTCGGCAGCATCCTTATTGGAGCCACTGTAACTAGGATTCTGCATCCACGGGCCAAAATCCTTCCATGACAACGATGCGGAGCTGCACGGTCTTGCATGGTGCCAGGACTATGATTACGACTTTGTTCAATCAAGCCATGATGCTGTCGTCCTTTTTTCAATCACAACAAGGTGCTTCCATACGTCTTCCGTGACCCCATAGCAGAGTGACCAATATTCCTTGCCCACGGGTTGATCCCAACGAGCTACAGCCCCTTCCTCGGGGCCACCGATTTCGCCGAGGTGCCCAGGGGTTCCAGGACCTTCCTAATCTCATCAACAACAATCGTCCATGCCCCGTCGTCCGGTGTCGGGGTCGCAAATTTAGGGCCACGAAGGACCCGCCGAGTAATCTTGCCTCCACGTGCATTCGACCTGTACCAAGTGTCAGTCAGTTGAAGAATAGCCCAGGGAACAGAAAGCGAGGGGTTTTCAGTTACATTGTCCGCATCGTGCAGACACCTCCTGTAGGTGTGGCAATCATTCCCAGTATTATCGCGGGACGTAACTCATTCAAAGCAGAATATGACTCTGAGTTGTGTGTGTTCCTTCAGTAGCGCACGAGGTATGTCGCGGACACGACTTGGAATCCACGCATCC